GAGAGAAAGTGGCATCAAACAAAACAGATTTTGATTTTGTATTCCTGAGATTTAAGTCCAGTATTTATTCAGTGGCTCAGTAGCTTTTAACAATCTTTAATTTTCACATTCCCCAAGAACTACAACGTCTTGAATTTCTCTTTGGTTTCATGGTTTGGAACAGTTCCTGTAACAACTCCTTCTATTTTATGACTCGATAGATCTCTCTTCTTTTTTTGGTGTGTGTTTTTGTTTTATTTTTCAGATGGGGTCTCACTCTGTCACCCAGGATGGAGCACAGTGGCTCAACTGTGGCTCACTGAAGCCTCTTCCTTCCACTCTGAAGCGGTCCTTCCTCCTCAGCCTTCTGAGTACCTGGGGCTACAGTTGCATGTTAATGTGCTTGGCTGATTTAAAAAAATTTTTTTTGTAATGATTAGGTCTCGCTACGTTGCCCAGGCTGATCTTGAAGTCCTGGGCTCAAGCGTTCATCCCACCTCAGCCTCCCAAAGATTTGGGATTATAGGTGTGAGCCAGCGCATGCAGCCTCATTTTTTGAAAAGTAGAAATAAAGTAATCAAAGCCTTTTTCTAAAGCATCATAGTTTTAAAATATTTTAGGTAATAGACGGTTTCAAACTGATATTGGAGCATAGTGTACACAGGACTTTGGCAAGATGAATTTTCCTCTCAAGTGCCGTTGAGAAGGTGTATTTTACTGCCACTGATTTTGGAAACCAGGATATTTGAGCTTGACCTATATAAAGGTTGTCTTTTCCTGAACTTTTATCCATGTAATATAATTCCCTGAACAAGCACCACACTTTTATATTTGAATAAAAGGTACTTTAAGAAAGCCTTTAAAATATATTAATATAGCCTTTATTAATTTTTTTATTATACTTTTAAGTTCTGGGGTACATGTGCAGAATGTGCAGGTTTGTTACCTAGTTATACACGTGCCGTGGTGGTTTGCTGCATCCATCCCCTGTCTTCTACATTAGGTGTTTCTCCTAATGTTATCCCTCCCCAATCCTCCCACCCACTGCTGTCCCTCCCCTACTCCCCGCAACCCCTGACAGGCCCTGGTGTGTGTGTTCCCCTCCCTGTGTCCATGTGTTCTCACTGCTCAATACCCACCTATGAGTGAGAACATGCGGTGTTTGATTTTCTGTTCTTGTGTCAATTTGCTGAGAATGATGGTTTCCAGATTCATCCATGTCCCTACAAAGGACACTAACTCATCGTTTTTTATGACTGCATAGCATTCCATGGTGTATATGTGCCACATTTTCCCTGTCTAGTCCATTGATGGCCATTTGGGTTGGTTCCAGGTCTTTGCTTTTGTAAGCAGTGCCACAGCGTACATACATCTGCATGCATGTTTATAACAGAATGATGTATAATCCTTTGGATATATGCCCAGTAATGGGATTGCTGGGTCAAATGGAATTTCTGTTTCTAGGTCCTTGAGGAATCTCCACACTGTCATCCACAATGGTTGAACTAATTTGCACTCCCACCAACAGGGTAAAGTGTTCCTATTTCTCCACATCCTCTCCAGCATCTGTTGTCTCCAGATTTTTTAATGTTTGCCATTCTAACTGGTGTGAGCTTATTAGTCTTAATAAATATATAAGCCCAAAATAAGAAAATATTCTCCTTTTTTTAGATCTCTATACATTATTGATATTAAAGGCAAAACATGGAAATAGAATCAGGTTTCCTTTCAGTGTTACATACCATGACGTGCGTATTATATAAATGATACGAAAGCGAGCTATAAAGTTTACACTGTGTTTGTCTTGTTTATGGATCCTATATGCTTGTATTTCTTTTTTTTTGAGACAGAGTCTCGCTCTTTTGCCAGGCACCAGGCTGGAATGCAGTGGTGCGTTCTCAGCTCACTGCAACCTCTGCATCCCGGGTTCAAGCAGTTCTCCTGCCTCAGCCTCCTTAGTAGCTGGGACTACAGGCACGTGCCACCATGCCCAGCTAGTGCTTGTATTTTAGTAGAGACGGGGTTTCACTATGTTGTCCAGGATGGTCTGGATCACTTGACCTCATGATCCACCTGCCTCGGCCTCCCACAGTGCTGGGATTACAGACATGAGCCACTGCACCCAGCCCCTGTGCCTGTATTTCTTTTGAACATTTGGAGAATATTTATGCGAAAGAGTCTTACATTATTAGGCTATTTCTAGTTTTGCAAGGGTAAATTTCTATGTTTGCTGTGGCCACTGACTGGTGGCCACTCTGTTGGAGATGGGCAAGTATATTTAGTGAAATTCTTCGGTGTAACTTGTATATATTATACTGTGTCAAGACACTAAGATCATTCTTGTATAACTCCCCAATGAGATAAGTTACGGATACGTTGAGGCTGTTTTTGTGATTGTCGCTACCCACACAATGTAGTTGCCCATTGTAGCACAGCTAGTATAATATAGGCCTTATTTTTCTCTAGTGATTTTCGTCGTGTACGTGGATATCTCATTCCTGCTGTAATCCTGGGCAAATGAGCAGAGTTATTTCTGTCTTCTTACACAGATGGTGTTGTTTCATTCCTAGTTAACTGCTTCATCTGGGAAACTCAGTGTTAGTTCCCTGTAATGCAACAAACTCTAAACCTCAGCTCTAAGGTCAAGTATTTGCCCAGTGGGATTAGCTTTAATGACTGCTCTTCACTTTGGCTTTAAGTGTGTTTCTTCATCATCTTTGGCACCTGAAAACTTCCGTTTTTTACTCCAAAATTTAGTGAAGTTGTTTTAAAATTTGTCTTTTTAAACTTACGGTTATATCAAATTCTGTATGTTTAGAGGAAGAGGAGTAACTTCTGTATCTGTGCATTTTGACTGAAAGTCATAGTTGCTTATCTTTACAGAATTCACATAATTTAGAATGTTTCCCCAAATCCTTGTTCATCTGTGCAGAAACTGACTTAACGATAGGTACTCAAATGTGTTTACATGCTGTATATTAATTGCATTTTCTAGTATTAGCATACTCATAAGTATATGTGTAACTAACCAATTTAAATTATTGATCTTAATTTTTTATCAATTGGAATATTAGGCAAAGTGAGACAAATAAGCACATTAGAGTTTAAAACTTGGGGTTCATATAAGCATGAAAGATGAAGCTCATAGTTGCGAGTCATTTAATTGCTCAGACTAGGTGGAACTGATGAGATTACTATTTTCTGTACTTTATTTTCTTATGTTGGAAGAGTTATATACAAATATGAATCATGATTTAGTATGTTTAACCTACAGCATTTCTATACACTTGAATTTTATGAGCAAGAACTGTATCTATGAGTTTAAACATGATATTTGAAAAAAGCACACTAACTCATAACACTAACGACTTTGACAACTTGTTCTGGGAACTAGAAAAGTAAGCTGGTACTTTCATTAGATCAAAGACTCTCCACCCTATTCCCGACACTGAAAATCCCGAGAAACAGAAACATGAGTAACAATTACCTCATGCTTTAAGAACTATGCCCTAGGATAGATACTTAATGTATGTATAGATTTTTTAAAAAGTAAGCCATTTCTTTTGATAGTTATTATAATGATTATACAACATATTTCAAGACATATGACCGGTTTTTACCTAAGGGAAAATAGAGTATTCTTTGCTTTTGTATGTGGAGTCAACCTGTGACATTTCTCTAGTGTAAGTGAAAACAGAGGATCTTATTGTAATATTAACCTCTTTGCCTACTTAAATGAGGGCAAAATAGTAGTTTCTAAAGACTAAAAAAAATTACCAATTGCATATATTGTCTAATTTTGAATTATCTGACTGTTTTAGCAATGTAGACTTTAAGTGCTTTTTTTCTACTTTTTATTTAGTGTAAATAAGTTATTGAATTAACTTGTTTAACAATATTAAGGTCATTTTTGTTTAAATATAAGACGTATAATTTTTGAAATTTTACTTCTGATTCAAGTAAGCTGTACATACCTAAAATGATTTTTATATTACATTTAAAACTGTAAAGCTATGAAAATAATGTGCCCTAGGTATTAAGTGGCCAATTCTCAAGTCCACCTTTAAAATACATATAAAAGTAAGTCATTACCATTTTGATTTGAAGTGGAATATTTGTTAAATTCTAACATGGTAACAATTATAACTTTGAAAGTATCTAACTTATCTACATGTGTTGTATTTAAATGATGCTGATTTAAATTTTTCAAACTATCAATTCAATGTAACATTTATGTTAAATGGTACAACTGAAGTATTTTTAATGTACAAGTTGAAATATTATAAAGGTTAGTGAGTACTTTGATATTTTATGGTAGTCCTTTGGCACCAAGATTATTTTCTAATTTTTGAAATTTGGGAAGATTCTAGTAAACAGCAGAGAAGCAATTAAGACCACTGTAGCAACATATCTCAGATTTGTAAGGTTATACTTAGTGTAAAATTTGGATATAAGCTGCTTTTCAGAGTTACATATAGGCGTGTTTTGTAAAGTAAGCACAGTAGTATGGTTAATTTATAGTCTGTCTATAAAAGAAAGAATTTTAGATTTGTTTTTACATCTGACTTTCTAGTATTTCTAAAATGAGAACTTTTTAAAAGACATAAAAAAGTTTTCTTTTCTCTAACGTTGATTGTCATTATAGGTGCCTGTTTCCAGGAGCTTTCTACCCAAATCCCAGTCAGCCTGTCAGGAATATATGTGAACAAATCAGTCCAGTACCCCTGTCTCAATCTGAGCGAAACTAGTAACCCTCATTGTAGGTTACACATAAGTATAACCTTACAAATCTGAGATAAGTTGCTACAGTGGTCTTAATTGCTTCTCTGTTGTTTACTAGAATCTTCCCAAATTTCAAAAATTAGAAAATAATCTTGGTGCCAAAGGAATACCATAAAATATCAAAGTACATTATATGTACTTTATATGTGACATTATATTTTTAAATGTCACAGTATAGCCAGATTTCAGTCTATGGATATTTCACATTAAAAAGTACAAAAAAAGAGTCATTTATTTACCTTTCTGTCTTGTTCCTTTTGTTGACTTTCCACCTGCGGTGTTGGAATCCTGCCTTTGAGAGAAAATCTGAATATCATCTCATGTAATGTTTTTGAATAAGTTATTTAAATCTCTGTCTTACAGATCACAGGCTAATATCTGTATAGTTTTCATCTTGTTAATTGAAAGCCAAATAATGAAGTCAAATAAGAGATAAAGCTGTACTTCTGCTGTTAACAGCAAGTGAGAATAGATTGCTTATTTCACACCTGGAGAATCCGGTTCTGCCTGTTAGACGCCTGTTCCTTAAAGGAAGATTATTCTCATTGGAGCTGGTTGGTAACAGGAAGTCCTTGTTAAAGGGCCTACGTAGAGTATCTGGCCCTGGCCCTGCAAAGGCAGTCCTACGTTGTGTATGTCATATATTCCAAGAAAATGGATTTGTATTTAAACAAAGCTTACTTTCTTTTCTATAGGTATCAAAACTTGCCGAAAATATAGAATTAAATAGGAATGACAAGAAGCTTAGTGGAAAGGCTTTTTATGTTCCATTTACTTTAAAATGGTTGAATTTTGTCCTATTTTAGGAAATCCCATATGAGCTTAGCTCATAAAATCATAGAATTTCAGAAGTGGAACATCTGGGAAAGAGCTCATGCCTGTAAACCATTCATCCCACTTTACTTTTAATCTTTTTACTTTTTATTATGCCCACTGTTTTTATTTTAAAATAAGTTTTATATAGAACTAAAGTTACACAGCAGTATATGTTAAATCACTTGTCGTGTCAATATAACGATTCAAAATATAATTTATACGAGAGGGAAATGTTTATAGGAAGAATTAGAAATGAAAATCTCTCTTGTACTACCAAGTTTCGGAACCCTTTTTTTCTACCTGAATTGTTATTGTTTGAGGGCAAGAAGAAGGACATTGCTGTATCTATCAAATTTTTTTTTTCTTAACATGGAGTCTTACTCTTGTAGCCTAGGCTGGTGTATACTGGCACAGTCTTGGCTCACTGCAACCTCCGCCTCCTGGGTTCAAGCGATTCTGCTACCTTAACCTCCTGAGTAGCTGGAATTACAGGCACCTGCCACCATGCCTGGCTAATTTTTTTGTATATTTTAGTGCAGACAGGATTTCACTATGTTTACCAGGCTGGTCTCAAACTCCTAATCTCAGGCGTTCCACCCACCTTGGCCTCCCAAAGTGCTGGGATTACAGGCATGAGCCATCGCACCTGGCCAATCACATATATATTTATTGTTTGTTTTAATAGTTTTATTTTCTGAAATCTATACCCCAAATAAGAAATGACTCCTTTATATACCTTTTTATAGCACTCTTTGTAAAAACAAAACACTGGAAGCACAAAAATCCTTCAGCATAGAACTGGCTGAGTAAATGATGGAACATTCAAAGGGGAGCATTTTGCAATTATAGAAAATAATGAAGAAGATTTCGTTATACTGCTTCAGGGTACTTTCAAAATTTACTGTTAAGAAAAAAAGCATGCTGCAGAAGAATATATATAATATGCTAACTTTTAAGAAGAAAGGAAGGGTAGATAGAAATATTACATATATACACAAATATATAAACCAGTCAGTAGCATTGAATATCCATAGTGCTCAAATTATGGTCCTTAAAATACCATTTTCTCTATATGCTTGTTTATATTTTCAGAAGAAAATAATGGGAGGATGAACTAAACATGAATGAAATTGGTTACCTAAAGGAGAAGGGAGGAGAAGGCAGAGGGATGGCACATAGTTCCTTCTGAGTGTACCTTGTATTTATGGTTTTGAATTTAGAACCATATATATGTATATATTTTTTTATTTCTTTTTTTTGTTTTTTTATTTTTTAGTTTTTGAGATAGGGTCTCACTGTCACCCAGACTGGAGTGAAACAAAAACAAGATTTAAAAAGCTAAGTAAAAACTTGATAATGGATTTAAAATGAAAAAAATCAACATGAATGCATGATTTGATTTTTTTTTCTGGAATAAAAGTATATTTCCCAGCTTTGTGCACTGAAAGGGCCTAGAAGCAGTAGTAAGTCAATGGCATATATATATATATATATATATATATATATATATATATATATATGTATGTAACTTGTAGATACATATATATGTAACTCGTAGATTTTGGTCATTTTGGTCTTTAAAATGCCATTTTCCACTGAAAAGATAAGGCTTCTTAGGGAGATGGATGATTCCAAGTCTGGAATCTTGTTTCATAGTAGAACACAAAGAAGCTATCAAAGACTGTTGGAGTTGTTACCAGAAGAGTCCCAGAGCTGACCCGAAGGGGGCTTCCACTGCCTCAAAATGGGTGCCCTTGAGCCTTAAAAAGAACTATAACCGCAACAAATTGAAACACATCAAATATATTTTTAAATACATAAGTTCATAATGATGCCTCTCAAAATAAGAAAAAGCACCAAAAAGCCCAAATAACCAAAGCAGTACTAAGTAAAAAGAATAAAGCTGGAGGCATCATATCATCTGGCTTTAAATTATACTACAAGGTTATAGTGACCCAAGTAGCATGGTACTGGTATAAAATAGATGTGGAGGTCAATTGAAAAGAGTAGAGAACCCAGATGATGGGTGCAGCGATGCTGGGAAAACTGGATTGCCATATGCAGAAGAATGAGACCGGAACCCTGTTTCTCACCATATACAAAACCTAACTCAAGGTAAAGGCTTAAATGTAAGACCTGAAAAATCCTAGAAGAAAACGGGTGAAACTGTCCTGGACATTGGTCTGGGCAAATAATTCATGACTAAGACCTCGAAAGAGCGAGCAGCAAACCCAGAAATAGACAAATGGGACTTAATTAAAATAAAAACTTCTGCACAGCAAAAGAAGCAATCAATGGAGCAAACAGCCTGCAGAATGGGAGAAAATATTTGCAAATTATTCATCCCCTATAGGGGACTAATATCCAAAATTTACAAGGAAATAAACAAGAACAAAAACCATGAAAAAATATGCAAAGGACAAGAATAGTCATTTTTCAAAAGAAGACATGCAGATGGCCAACAAACCTGAAAAATGCCCAACATCCCTAATCATTAGAGAAATGCAGGTTAAAACCACAATGAAATACCATCTCACAGGTCTTGCAGTCAGAATTTTTAGCTATTATTAAAAAGTTAAAAAATAGCAGAGGTTTGCAAAACTGTGGAGAATACACTTGGAATGTAAATTGGAACAATTGCCATGAAAACCAGTATGGAGATTTCTTAACTAAAAAAGAACTACCATTTAATCTAGCAAACTCCCTACTGGGTATCTGTCGAAAGGAAGATAAATCATTATACAAGAAATGATACCTGCACTTGGATGTTTATCCCAGCATTACCCACAGTAGAAAAGATACGTAGTCAACCTAAATGGCCTTCAATGGATGATTAAAGGAAATGTGGACCAGGTGCAGTGGCCAAGGCAGGTGGATCACGAGGTCAAGAGATCAAGACCAGCCTGGCCAACATGGTGCAACCCCTGTCTCTACTGAAAATACAAAAATTAGGGGGGCGTGGTGGTGCACACCTGTAGTCCCAGCTACTTGGGAGGCTGAGGCAGGAGAATCGCTTGAACCTGGAAGGCAGAGGTTGCAGTGGGCTGAGATCGTACCACTGCACTCCAGCCTGGCAACACAGTGAGACTCCATCTCAAAAAAAAAAAAAAAAAAAGGTGGTGTGTATGTGTGTTGTACATACATACAGTGGAATACTATTCAGCTATTTAAAAAAAGCATGTCTTTGGCAGCAATGTGGATGGGGCTGGAGGTCATTTTTTAAAGTGAAATATCCAGAAACAGTCAAATATAGCATGTTCTCACTTATAAGTGGAAGCTACATAATGTTTCCACATTGACATGGACTGTGAATTAATAGACACTGGAGATTGGTGGGGTGGGAGGGTGGGAGGGTTGGAAGGGGAGTTAGAGATGAGAAATCAGTGTCTATAATACACATTATTAAGTCTATGGTTACACTGAAAGCCCAGACCTCAGCACTATGCAATATATCACCAGTATGCAACATATGTACATAACAAAACAGCACTTGTAACCCTTAAATTTATAGGCATGAAAAAAACAAAATCAACCTGATCACCTTTGGAGGTTGCTAGGCCATCAATTCATTATTTTGAAAATTAGGAAATAAGGACAAAGGATCAAACATTTATCTTGACTCTTCTCTGTGAATTTTAAGAGTCACCAGGTGGTTGGTGAACTACTTATTTTTAGCAAGAATCCTGCTAGTAAATGCAGAAGGAATATAGAAGTAAAAAAGTTACTGTCTCATAAACTTCGATAAAATAAAAGAATTAAGCAAAGGTCATCAGTGGCTGCTAAAATCATTAAGTGAAAGGTTAATGAGGAACTTGATTTTGGCTGGATCAGGCTGAATGTAAATCCACTGGCTAATTATATACCACCAAAATAGGACATTATATAAAATCGATATTATATGCCCCCCGCTGATACAAGCACCACCTATGAAATATGCTTGCCATAAAGATTTCATCTGAAACTCATCCACCTTCTTACCACTAGGTACAGAAGATATAGGATAAGTATGTTAAATAAGTTTTTAAGGAAGATATTAGCCAAATCCCAGACATGGGAAATTCTAAAGAAAAATTACTTATTTTGTAAATAAATGTCATGGGAGGAAAAGAGTCCTGGAGGTGGTGGCAGGAGGGCAGGTAATATACATTCAAAAAGAGTTAAGTGATAGGTAATGTGTAATGTATTTTGGATCTGAATTTAAACATCACACTTGTAAAATGATAGTGGAGAATATTGAGTAAACTGAGAAATACTGAAGACCTACTGTCTTCAATACTGTCAGTTTTGTTAGGTGTGTAGTGGTATGATGGTAATGATTTTTTAGTATCTGGGTGAAGTAATCTGACTCAGGCAGAACAGAAGGTATGTAGATGTAATGCTAACTTGGGAAATGCAAAAGTGGAAGGTAAGCAAGAATGACGCAGTTTGGATAATTTTTTAAAGATAGGTGGTGGGGGTCATTAGATTTTTTAGTCTGTTTACTTAAATTTTTGTTTTTGTTTTTGTTTTTTTTCATCTAAAGAGTCTCAAAATTTGAGCAAGGTAGTATTTTATTAAACTTTTTAATCTAAGTTATATAATTAAATTGTGGTAATCCCTGTTTTTCTGTAGAACTTATTTTGGTTTTTCATTTCGCAGATGTCTAGTTTGTCTCTAATTGTGTACAATTTTTTTTTCATTCTCAGTGATTTGCCAAGTAAGTTAGAGGCGGCCTTGGGTCTTCAGTGAATTGCGCATTTATGTGCACACATTCACACCTTAGACTTTTGTAGATGAGCTCGATTATTAAAAAGCTAGAATGAATATTTGGGCATTTAAAACATGTTACAGATTGAGTTTTAAGAAGACAAGAATATGGTTTATGGATGTGGCCTGTGGAAATCAGTCTTCTTTGTCTGTTTTGCAGTTTTTCTGTTGGCCTATTGATCCGTTAAGTTTTCCTGACACTTCTCTTTCTTTGATTTTTCTTTTATAGGCCAGTGTTCACAAAGTATTTTAGCAATAATAAGTAAAGGAAAAACGATTAAATTGACACTACAGCATTTTAAGAAACTGGTGTGCTCTATAATCAGTAGATTTAAAACTTCGGAATCAAAGAATGTGGTCAGGCCGTGCGTGGTGGCTCATGTCTGTAATCCCAGCACTTTGAGAGGCTGAGGCTGGCAGATCACTTGAGGTCAGGAGTTCAAGAGCAGCCTGGCCAACAGGATGAAACAGTGTCTACTAAAAGTATAAAAAATTAGCCAGGCGTGGTGGCACGTGCCTGTAATCCCAGCTACTCTGGAGGCTGAAGTGGAGAATCACTTGAACCTGGGAGGCGGAGGTTGCAGTCAGCAAGATTGCAGCACTGCACTCCAGCCTGGGTGACAGAGTGAGACTCAGACCCCCAAAATCTAAAAGAATGTGCTCCAAATATCCTTAGGTTGCCATCTAATTATATATATGCTGTATAAAAGTACTTTATTTATCTTTTAGGTTGGCAAATAAACAAGATAAAGAAGGAGCTTTAGGAGAAGCTGATGTTATTGAATGTCTATCTCTGGAAAAATTGGTCAATGAGCACAAGTGCCTGTGTCAGATAGTAAGGTTTTATTTTGTTTACTCTTTATCCTTTCAAATAAGTTCAATGTAACTTGGTTTTTATAAAAGTGATAGCAATTAAAAAACGATCTTTTCAAAGAACTTTTGTAACCTATAAAATCACACTCTCACTTTTCTGTTGATATAACTTAATGCCATAATATTTGTTGTCTATTTCCTTGTTATTTCCATGAACTGTCTTTTCATGATTTCAAAAAGCTTCACATTTGCTTTCTGTTTAAGATATTGCTGATAGGATCTGTGCGCTGTGCCTGCACATCAGGGTATGAACTTTGTAAAATGGGAAAGAGATGTATAAATACAAAATTTAAGCATATGAGCAATTCATAATTAATTGCTCATATGCTCAAATAATCATAAAAATTACATTGCCTGGCATGGTGGCTCATGCCTGTAATCCCAGTACTTTCGGAGGCTGAGGGTGGCAGATTGCTTGAGCCTGGGAGTTTGAGACCAGGCTGGACAACATAGTGAGACCCTAGCTCTGCAAAAAATAGGAAAATTAGCTGGGTGTGGTGGTGTGTGCCTATAGTCCCAGCTACTTAGGGGGCTGAGGTGGGAGGATCCCTTGAGCCTGGGAGGTTGAGGCTGCAGTGAGTTCTGATCGAGCCACTGTACTCCAGCCTGGGCAACAGAATGAGACCTTGTCTCTGAAAAACAAAAAAAGGAAAGAAAAATCCTATCAGGAGAGATATCATACAGTCTTAAGGAAGATCATCAGGGGATTTGATAATTTATTTTGGTTTCAAAAAACATTAGACTGTCAGTCTTACGGATGTTTACTGCTGCAGATTTTAGAATAAGGAGTTAAAACCTCCTGGCGTTTTTAATAAATAGAGGTATTTTTCTTATGGCAGTAAACTTTTTTCTTCTAATGTAATTGGCACTATCACCCTCTTCTTTATAATATCTCACATAGCATACAGATATTATCTGTAAAATAATAATGTTAATAATCATTGCAAAGGTATGTTTTGGAAGTTAAATGAGCAGATGCTTCATATCGTTAACTTAAATGGCTTAATATTGATTTGCCATTAATTATACTTGATGATTTATGAATAGATTTGTGTGGAGAACTTTTAATCTTTGAGTCAAATAAATTTCTGTTTTAGGAACCATGTTCAGCAATCTTGGGGTATGGAAAGAAAATTGACAAGTCCATTAAAAAAGGTCTTTATTGGCTGCTACATGTCATTGCAAGAGACTTTGATGCCTTAAATGAACGCATCCAAAAAGATACAGCAGAACAGCGTGCTCTTGAGGAACAAGGGAGACGAGAAAGAGCTGAACGAGTACGAAAGTTACGAGAAGAAAGGTAAGTAGGTTAATTTTGCACTTGACGAGTTAAAAACACAATAATTTTATGAATTATTAGTTTTATCTGTTCAGTTTCTTTCTATATGAAGGAAGACACTAGGTAAGTTTTGTATTTCTGTGGGTCTTTCTCTACACAAGTTTGGGTGGGCGATTCCTCGTTTTTCTGGAGGTGTTATAGCAGTTAAACTTACCCCTTATGTAGGCCGCTGTTGCCCAGAGTTTGACATTTTTATCTCTGGTTTCTTAAGGGTACTTCAGTGCAGTGGTTCTCAATGCACAGGGTAGTTTTAACTCTCAGAGAACATTTGGCAATGCCTGGAGACATTTTTAGTTTTCACAGCTGGGGGAGGCGTTGGAGTACTACTTGGCATCTGTTGGATAGAGGCCAGGGATGCAGCTAAACATTCTATGACACACAGGACAGGCTCCTACAACAAAGAATTATCAGGCCTAATATGTCAATAGTGTCGAGACTGAGGAACCTTTTTACTTTGAGCCAAGACAGAAGGTGAGCTGTTAGAGAATCGTTCAACTCAAGCAAAATCTGATCTGAGTTGCCTTCTATCCGGCCTTCTGTGTAGTTTAACATAGTTGTAGCCCAGTGGGCAAGAACCTGCTACCCTTGGTGATCCCATGAGGTGCTTCCCTATACTGTGAAGGAAATCCTCTGATAACTGCTATTTTTCATTTAATTCATTGATAGGACTTAAAGAAAAGAAATATTTGTAGAAGTGACTCTCTATCCCCAAGTGCTCAATAATATGAGTGTGTCTTTCATCTAGGGATCTCTTGATATAAAAGACAGATTAAAGTGAATGATTTTGGCAGCTGTTGTTACAAGGTTTTAGTTCCTGTGAGAATCTTTGGTTTTTTCTTAGTGTGTGTTTTTATCATATAAAGCTCAGTACAACCAATCATGCATGTAAGTATACCTTTTATATATAATATTTATAAAAAATATATGCCCATACTTACCTGAAAAATTCTTTTGTTTTCCTCCACTAAGATAAAGTAACAACAAGAAAAATCAAGTTGGACAAAAGAAATCTAATGTTAATAACTTTTTAAATGTTTTTGCCTTTTCCATAATGATATTCTAGATCATGTCATGGCAGGCTTTGCCACTACTCTTTGCCCTCTCTTTCTTTCTCAATATCCATGCCAGCTGTGGTCTGAGACCTCTCCTTTTGAGCCAATACTCCATAATTAAAAGTAAACTGACATTCAGAGATGGATGATGAAAAATAAACCTTTTTACTTCACTAAATCCAATCTAATTGGTTCAGATAGTCATTTCTAGTGTTTTGAAAGACAATAAAACACCAAGTGAAAGTAATATATTAATACTGTATTCCTGAAGTTGCTTACTAATAAATGAGTAGCATTAATAACAATGACTATCCTATGAGAAAGTTCATTCACACAGTGTTCTCACATATATTACTTTATCTGATGCTTGAAGCAGCTCTCTATGAAGTGGTTTATTTTTATTCACATTTGTGGGAAAGCTAAGGCTCAAAGATCCAGGTCCAAAGTCACAGAGGTAGTAAATTGCAAATCTCCGTATCTTGGCATCCTAGGTTCATAATGAAAGGATACGTATTTCCGTCTAGAACATAGCTAGTAAATATTATGGTAAGGAACATTTACATTGCTGTATAATACAGTCCAGTTAAAGATACACAATAATTCTTTTTTAATCTTTGGCTGCTCATCTTAATAGCATTACCTATCATGTATGGAACACCATTAACTATAAATCACAGAGATAGTAAATGTCCAGTGGTAACTAATACGGAAATACTTATTTAATCTGAATGATATATATGGTAACTTATTTTTGTAACCACTCACACTATTATGCAAGTTATTATCTAGTTGTTCATAAATTGATAAAATATGTTATTTTATATTACTGTTCTGTCATATACTTCTATAGAATCAATCTATAGATATCCTAGTCTTTTATGCTTATATACTAAACAAGAAACATGTTTGTGCAGAAATAAAAACATGAGTAGAAGGAATGCTTTGTTAGTTTTACTTTATAAGAGAAGACATAGCCCTTAAGAAAATAGTTAATAAGAATAATTGTTGGCCAGGCGCGGTGGCTTACGCCTGTAATCCCAGCACTTTGGGAGGCCGAGCCGGGCGGATCACAAGGTCAAGAGACAGAGTCCATCCTGGCCATCATAGTGAAACCCTATCTCTTAAAAAAAAAAAAGAAAACAAAAAAAGAATAATTGCTATTTGTTAACAGCAGTAAAGAGGACAGCATTGATTTTGAAGGGTAATTAATAGGTTGATCAGTAATACCCTTGGCACATGGAAGAATAATTGCACCATTGATAATAAGAAGTCAGTCATAGGAAATGTCATTTTTATCAGCATTTAAAAAAAAATGGAAATGATTAGTCTTTACATGGTGGCGGGGGGCGGGGGAAAAGCCTTTAACCTGCATAAAAATTTTTAAAATGCTCTCAGTAATTCAAAACCATGCCTACATGTTTAAATTACTACATGTAATAGCCTTATACCTACTGCAGTTTTCTTAAACATGATTCAGCACTTTCTTAAAAGAAATTTCAATTATTTTTCCTGAAACAATAGAAAACAAAATCAACAAGAGCAAGCTGAGCTCGATGGAACCAGTGGTCGGGCTGAGTTGGACCCAGAACCAATGAATCCTTTCCAGCCAATAGCATCTGTAATCATCGAGGTATGAATGGTGGCAAATGTAATTTTTCTATCTTAAGTTCAAACTTGGAAAAGAAGGTGGAAAGTTAGGAAAGGAGGCAGGAAAACAGGAGTGTTTCTTCAGAAAGATTATTTCTACAAGAAATTAAAGATGAGAGACTGATTAAAGGTTTATTGCTTTTTTTCTTACTCTTAAATTACCTTTGAATCTAGTGTAAAAGGGGGAATATGAATTCAGAATTCAATGACAATAAATAACGTTTGACTGTAGCAATTATTATAGTTGCTGTGTTGATAAATCTGTTTTGTCATTTATTTCATGTAGTAATAATACATTTACTCTTCCTTATATTTTCTGTGTTTCCGTATTGCTGTTACTGTCCATTTGCAGTAATACTTACTTAGAATGCATTAGAGTACATAAACAATTTCTGTTTTTCCAGGATGCTTAAGAATGTTTGAAACAGCAATAAATTCTGCTATATCTGAATACCATTTATTTCCATTTTAAATCAGAAAATTTACCAACATTAATTTATAGATTTAATTATGAAGAAGTAAAGGGGTTGTGTGTGTGCACATCTGTGTATCGGTGCCTCTGTTTTCATTTTCTGCTGATGTCCAGAGTTTGCATTGGCTCTGCTTTCATGGCTGGCCGCAGCAGTGCCTCCTCTGAGGCCGTGCTTCCTAAACCTTAGGCTGACCTGCTGGTCCTGCCTGTGTATTCCCCATTCCTCTCCCCTGTCACGGCCTCCTTCCACACAGGTGCTCATCTGGAAAGGTGGATGATTGTTTAAACTTCCTCGGGGCTGCTGCTGAGGACGGAGGCAGCTCCGCAGGTAAGAAGATGATTGGTTGGTTTTGGTGTTGCTTTATTTTGCAAAGTAATTGGTAATATGAGACATTAGTTTTTAAGTTGCTTGGATACCTGAAGGTTAATTGTATTCAATCTTTCATTAACCTCATTGCATTCACCCTAAATATGTGCTTTTCTAATTACAGTAAAGCCATCTTAATAGCATGAGCTGCTTGTCTCAATTCTATCAGATATTATATTTGTCAAGTTTTGTTTTATGTTTTTAAAAAAATATTGATAGAGAAGAGGTTAAGTTGTACTGTTTACTTTGAAACATTAGTTATTCCCTGTGTATAGTATAGTAAGGCTTGCTTTATAAATAATGGTTAATTATTTTATAGTATCATGGGTATAAATTATGTACAAGGGTCTAGTGCTTCTCTCAGCATTGTATTTTCCACAATGTATAGAAATGAATAATACTGATGTAAAACATAGTACGTAATATATAGAAAGTTGCTAAATTAATAAGTGGCATGGGGAAAGTGCACTTACGCTTTTAAACTATAATAATTTCCAGAAGATGGTCAGTAAAGAAATAAAAACACAAATTAGCTGTATTTTTTAACCATCTAGATTTTCTTCCCTCCCCCCAAAACCTCTTTTTTAGTGTGTTTCTTGGTACAGAAGCACCTAACATTCCTTTGCTTTTTACTGCAGATAATTAAAATGGTAAGATATTGGAAGGTATTGCTTCCAGAATAGACAGGCGGATCAACAGAACAAATAATAACAAACATAGTTATGTATGAGCATTTTAGTACAAGATAAAGATAACATTTCAAATCTGACAGAAAAGAATAACTATTTAGAGAAAAGTAAAATTATTGAATACTGTATACCTAGTTAAATTCCAAAAGCATCGAAAACTTAAACATGTTTAAGTGAAAGTCTTCAAGTTACTAATTGATAATGTAGTTAAATCTTTATATGTCCTTGGAGGAGGAAAAAAAATTCAAAACAGGACAAACAAGCCACAAATCATAAAGGAAAAAATGAATAGATCTTATACTACCCAATTCTAAAGGAATTGTTCTACCAAGTTAAAAAGAAATAGAACACACTCTAGTGAAAAATAGGATGCATAGGCTTATGTGGCTCTGTGCCTGGTCCTAGTGACTCAGATGCACAAAAGAACTCTTACAAATTACAATGAAAATAATGAGAATCTAATAGAAAAGTGGGTATTGGGTTGCCAAAGGCAGTTTCCTAAAGAAAAAATAAAAATGTCAACAAGTGTTATTTAATAGTTTATTTTTGCCAGCAATAAAAACTTTTAACTTAAACTCAAAACAACACTAAGATAAAAATATGTATTGCTCAAGCCTGTAATCCCAGCAGTTTGGGAGGCCGAGGCGGGTGGATCACGAGGTCAAGAGATCGAGACATCCTGGTCAACATGGTGAAACCCCGTCTCTACTAAAAATACAAAAAATTAGCTGGGCACAGTGGCGCGTGCCTGTAATCCCAGCTACTCAGGAGGCTGAGGCAGGAGAATTGCCTGAACCCAGGAGGCGGAGGTTGCGGTGAGCCGAGATCGCACCATTGCACTCCAGCCTGGGTAACAAGAGCGAAACTCTGTCTCAAAAAAAAAAAAAATATATATATATATGTATTAATATGGCAAAGATGTAAAAGGTCAGTCATGACATGCAGTATTGAATACGACGTAGAAAAAAATCAGTCTCCCAGCCCTTTGCCTGTGGTGTACATTGATTCAGTTTTTCTGAAGGGAAGTTTGTGACTATATGTGACATTTTAAAATTTGCCTACCTGCTGACTTCGACAGTTCTACTGTTAGCAATTTAATGTTAAAAAAAAACACACAAAAAACTATTAGGATGATTCTATTTTTTAAAATAGTGAAAAATTGGAAATAAATTCTTTTTTCATTGACAGATTCGGTATGCCATAAACATTCAAAATAATAATATAATTGATGAAAATAATTGTAGCTAACATCATTTACTCGTTATAAGGCACTGTTCTGAGCACTTCATGTATTCATTGGCATGGAAAGAAATATATGTTCTTCAATAAAAACTTGAAATCTTTTTTGTTTAAACGGCAAATACATATGTATATATGGATATGTACATTTATGCATGTTTCTGGGCGATGTATGTCTGTGCATGATGTATGTATGTACATGTGGGGTTTGCAGAGGAAATGATCTCTCAGAGATTATAGACCAAATAGATCATATACCAAATAATATAGATGAAAAGTAGTCATCTCTAGATTGTAGAATTACTGGTAATACTTGTTTTCTTTCGTTGTACTTTCTGAGTTTACCGAATGTTTGACATTTAGCATATTTTAACGATGTGTTCATCAAATTATTTTTAAAATAGAAATCTCACAGTGTCCTTGAAGTTACAGAATGCTGTTAAGGTATATGATTCCTCTTTTAAAACTATCTTAGATAAAACCATTATAGTGAAGATAATGTGTTTTATTTTTTGTTAGAATGAAAGAAAACTTGAAAAAGAGAAAAAAAAGCAAAAAATGGAGACAGACAGTGATGGGTGCCCCCTGAAACCGAAAATGGAGCCTGAGCAAATGGAGACACAAGGCCAGGTTAATGACAGTGGCCAAAAAAATAATGAATTTGGACTACTAGAAAATTATAAGGAATCATTAACACAGCAGTTAGAGAATGAAGATGAGACAGACCAGCCATCATTAGAATCAGGTAATAAATCTAGTTACTTAAAGTAATGATCCTATGTATATGTAAATAAAACTTATACTTCATCTCATTTATTATGCTTACTTTTATAAAAGAGTACTATAGTATTTTTCTGCCTTCAAATACCATATTTTTCATGATTTTCCCAAGGTGTTTGATTATTTAGCCAGTTTGTTCCTAACATGATGACTTAAAATGTGGTCCTTTGTAACTTATAAGGATTTCAGCAGAAGATTTCATTTTTAATTTTATTTTCATAAATTTGGGATACAGCATAGCTCTCAAGAGTCCTTGGAGTAAATTTAACATCTTAAGGCCTTTTCTGCTTGTTTTGTAAGGCTCGTAATGCTACATCAGCATTATTTCCTTTATTGACTGGCTATTGCTATAGGTAGCAAACATAATCGGCAGAACATTTTAAACTGTCTTGTGAAATAGCCATGTTTCTCTTATTTTAATATCATAAAAAATCTTCAACCCATAATTGGTTTTCTTTTTCTAACTGGCTATGTTATATAAAAGTACGTTCATGTCTTTTGGTGTCATAGGGATATAGCCTGCATTTGGAATCAGACAACTTGGGATAGAATCCTGACCCATTATCTACTAGATAGATGTTAAGTTATATAACATTCTTTAGTCTTACTTTATCTCTAGAATGCAAATAAATATTGTCTGGGCCTTTTAGGGTTACTTAGAAAATAACTCTACTCCTAGCAGTGTCTGCCACATGAGAGATGCCCCGTAATTGTTGCTTCCTTGACATTTTTGGTTATTAATATGGCTTCATTATGTATAATAATTTTTATAGTATCACAGGGCTTATGAAAATAAGATTTCAATTCCTGAGATGTAGATTAGCTAACATGGGTACTTTGCTGGCTGACAAATACTAGATTTGAAAGTTACACTCTTCATCAGCTGGGAAGTTACGGTGGTCGTATTGGTACCACATACCTGTCAGCAGAGCTCAAAAGTGAGTAGACCTATTACAGTGGTCTCTAGGTTTTTTTTTTTTTTTTTTTTTTGAGACGGAGTTTCGCTTGTTACTCAGGCTGGAGTGCAATGGCACGATCTCAGCTCACCACAACCTCCGCCTCCTGGGTTCAGGCAGTTCTCCTGCCTCAGCCTCCCGAGTAGCTGGGATTACAGGCACGCGCCACCGTGCCCAGCTAAGTTTTTGTATTTTTAGTAGAGACGGGGTTTCACCATGTTGACCAGGATGGTCTCGATCTCTTGACCTCGTGATCCACCCGCCTCGGCCTCCCAAAGTGCTGGGATTACAGGCGTGAGCCACCTCGCCCGGCGGTCTCTAAGTTTTTAATACTTGTTAAAGAGCAAAATGATTTTGGTAAATGATTTGAAAATATAGCACAGGGAGATCTAAGGTAGTAAATCATATAACTATAATAATAACATTTTATACTTTAAAACAGCATTTGGATGTGCCACATTATTCAACATAACATTACGTTATTTAACATAGCAATCCTAGGGTATATCATTCCATCATATAAATGAAGAGAACAGGGACTTGAAGAGGTTGGGTTACTTAAGATCATATGTCTTGTTTGTGTAAGCTGAGACCCCAGTCCAGATGATCCGATCCACATCCTGTGCTTTTCCATGACCTTGAACTACTGCCCACTTTTAAGTACCATATGGTGGTTGTATTCCACATCTTATGGATCTGTTCTTCCACTTGTTAAGCTTGCCATTTTAATTGTAAAAAAGATCTATTTATTTATATGAAATGTTTCAAACAACATTAGTTTGTTTAGAATAATTATTTGTTTTTAAGTGTGTTTGTAATTTTTATTGCTTTGTAGGCTTCACAGATATTGGATATATTTTATGTTACAAACAATTCCAATTTAGAAAGCGCACACACACACACACACACACACAGACACACACACACACACACAGACATGGCTGTTTGTAACTGTCAGTCAAAATATTGCAGTTTCGTTGGCTGGGCGGGGTGGCTCACACCTGTAATCCCAGCACTTGAAGCCGAGGAGGGTAGATCACTTGGTCAGGAGTTCAAAACCAGACTGGACAGCATGGTGAAAGCCTGTCTTTACAAAAAAATACAAAAATTAGCAGGGTATAGTGGCACACGCCTGCAATCCCAGGTACTCTGGAGCCTGAGACACAAGAATCACTTGAACCTGGGAGGTGGAGGTTGCAGTGAGCCAACACCCTAGGCACGGAGTAAGGAAAAGAAAAGTTTTGCAATAACATCGATGTTCTAAGTTAAGTTAACTACTGTGTCATCCTAGTTCACCTTATTAAAATTTATGCATTAATAGATCCTGATGTGTTTATATGTGTTTAAGTTAAAAATATGTGAATAATTTTTTAAGAAAGAATACATTCAATTCTGCTAGTTCTACTAATGTGATTTTGGTTACATGTTTGCATTATATTGGGCCTACCTTCTTTTAGGATTATTTTATCGATTTTTTTTTTTTTTTTTTTTTGAGATAAGGACTCACTGTCACCCAAGCTGGATGGCAGTGGTACAGTCATGCTCACTGCAGCCTCGACTTTCAGGGCTCAAGCAATCCTTCTGTCTTAGCCTCACGAATAGTTGGAACTACAGGTGCATGAAAACAAAGCCATGCTATATATGTATTTTTTTTCACAGAGATGAGGTCTTGCTATGTTACCCAGACGGTTCTCTAACTCCTGGGTTCACGCATTCCTCCCACTTCATCGTCCCAAAGCGCTGGGATTACAGGTGTAAGTTACTATGCTTAGCCTTTAGGGGTTATTTTAAATAAGTAACATGTTTAGATTTGTTTAGGGCCCTTTATGTCACATTTCAAAGGATTATTTTTTGACTATACCTAGAATCATTCTACATATCCCACTGAGAAAAATCAAATATACTGAGTGACACAGTAATAATTTCATAGAAACTCTTGCAATTACACAATTATATTTGTTTCATATGACTTTTTGTAGTCTGAAAAACCTCTCAGAAATTAAAATATAGACGTTTGGCTCTTTGTTGTATCATATTCATTTGTCATTCATTCAATAAGCTATCACTTAAATATATATATTCTTAGTAAATGCAACGGCACATTTGGTCGTTGGTAACAATTTCCAAAGTTGAATTGTCAAGATGTTTTTATGTTAATATCAATATTCTTGTTTTATACTTTGTTTTCTATTATAGAAGTTCATTTTTTTCTAAAGATATAAAATTTCATGTTTATATTGTTGTAGCTAACGGTAAAAAGAAAACTAAGAAACTAAGAATGAAAAGGAACCACCGGGTAGAACCACTTAATATAGATGACGGTGCTCCTGAGAGTCCAACGCCACCCCCACCTCCTCCTCCTGGTGAGTAAATTGATACTGATACTGAATTTAGAAATATTCTTTCAAACAGCGGAGAAGAAAAGAAAAAAGGAATCTTGCCATTTTTATTCTGTATATTCATTATCATTTATATTTGTAAAAAAGAATCTTTTAACTCTAATTTGAACAAAATTTGCTAACAAAAATGTCCATTCCCTTTTTAAATAAAAAAAGTTTATAAAGGAAAAAAGAAGTAAAAACTATTAAGAAAACTTTATCCAATATTTCCTAGAATATGTTCAAGTTCTGTTTGAAATATTAGTACCTAGATGTTAATTAAAGTTTCATGATGGATGGTTAATATGAGCTGTTAAAACACTGGACCAGCTGGACATGGTGGCTCACTGCTGTAATCAATCCCAGCACTTTGGGAGCCGGAGTGGGCAGATCACAAGGTCAGGAGTTCGAGACCAGCCTGGCCAACATGTTGAAACTGTCTCTACTACAGATAAAAAAGGCTGGGAATGGTGGCTCATGCCTGTAATTCCAGCACTTTGGGAGGCTAAGGTGGGCGTATTATGAGGTCAGGAGTTGAAGACCAGCCTGGCCAACATAGTGAAACCGCATCTTTTCTAAAAATGCAAAAATTAGCTGGGCGTGGTGGCATGCACCAGTAATCGCAGCTACTCAGGTGGCTGAGGCCAGGGAATGGCTTGAACCCGGGACGCAGAAGTTGCAATGAGCCCATATCATGGCACTGCACACCAGCCTGGGCAACAGGGCGAGACTCCATCTCAAAAAGAAAAATTGGACCTTTCATCCTGAAACTTAACATTTGAAACCAAGATGTATTAATTTTTCTAATATATTTTCAACATCAGTCCCCATGTCTTAGGTTGTTATGAGGATCAAATGGAGTAATGCATGTAAGACACTGGCCCTTAACTTCCACAATAATTGAGACTCACTTTTCAGCACTAAGCTTAGGACCTCCCCTGCTATAGCTGCTCAGTAAATACGTAATGACTCGATAATTATGTGGTATAGCGCCCTTCCATCCCTGCTGCCAGGCTTTAGAAAGTATTTGGTAACATTAACTTTTAAGAATTTCTTACAGACTCTTTTCCAGTATTCCATTTATTAAGAAAATAGTCTCTGCTTAGAGTTAGAATGTTAGCATGAGTTTGTTTTTGATAGCGGTGAAGGTGCTTATATTTTTTAATAAGAATTATTGAAAACTCAAAGCAGATGTTAGCAGCCTATAGTTACATTTTAAAATATAGAAGCCATTTAAAATGGGTTTATGGCTATTCCTTACTGTCATTCAGTATATTTGAATTGACATTGAATGTTACATATGCTTCCTTTCCAGGGAGGGGTCCTCTCAACAGACCTAAAGAGACCTTGTTTAACAGTATTTTTTAAATGTTTTTCTTTTTCTTTAGTTGGCTGGGGAACCCCTAAAGTCACTAGACTTCCAAAACTTGAGCCTCTTGGTGAAACACGTCATAATGGTAATGCAAAAGGATCGGTTTTCAGATGTCTTCCGCATATGTTACATGCACTAAAAGGATCGGTTTTCAGATGTCTTCTGCACATGTTACATGCACTTTTCTTTAACCTTGTAACTTCAACAAACTTTTGTTTTAGTTTCGGAAGCCTGTCAAATCCACAGCCATCCTTTTTCATTATACTTCTCTTGTTTTCATTTTATTTAATTTCTTTTATTAAGTATGCTTTACATCTATATAATTTGTTGTTTACCTTAGAATACAGAGGTAAAAAGAATCATAGCTTGTGTTTATACATTTATGCAAGGAGTTAGAAAAGGTTTTAAAACAATTTAACTATGAGATATTACAATGATAACTTAAGTGTTAAAGGCTGTAGTTTCCTGTATATGCCCAATATACTCAATGCCACATAATTTTTTTCTCTCTATTCCTAATAATACAACCAGCTACGTTATATGAAAGTGAAGTAAAGATAACACAGTTTATAAAATTAGAGATCAAATCAGTAAACCAAGTAAAGCAGAAAGAAAGTTACTGACAGCTTTATTGAATTAAGAACAATTTTCTTTGAATATAACTAACATATGCCATAGTCTAGCTAGTTTATGGCATTGGAATTCTGGGATGCAAAAACTAGAGGAAGGATATTTAGGAGAAGTAGAGAACTGCTTTATAAAACAGGGAGAAGTTCTGATTACAGATCCTCAGTCTAGGTTCCTTCAGTAAGATATTTCCAGAATGCAGAAGACTTGTAGATAATTGTGGCTCAGTAACCTTGTTCGTTAAGAACACCCAGTTCCTTTCACGACAGCTCGGTGTTAACCAGGAAAAACGTCAGAAGTTTAATCTTTAGAAAAGCATTACCATATAATTTGAAATCATATCAAACCAGTTTAAATATTTTTATTCAGAAAGTACATAAATGTAAATGTGCTGTTTGCTTTTTTTCCTCAGAATTCTATATAGGTTGGTAATGAAATATTTCTTGATAATTGTTAGTGAAGATTAATGGATTTTTTTTTTTACATTTTTAAAGAAATAGAAATCTGTCCTTAGACTATATCAGAATTACTGAAATGGTATTTTCCGTGGAGTCTCATATCTCTGTTTTCTCACTTTACATTATGATGTTTATATTAACTACAGTAGATTTCTTTTTTATTATACAACTCAGCAAACTTGCATACATCAGAGTACACTGTCAATGTGAATGTTCACTATGTTGTCAGAAAACTAAGTGGTGTTAGTGCGTATATATGTACACACATATACATATGAAGAAAACAATTTTTTCATGTGATATTTTTTCTGTCATTGACCTCATTTAACAAACAACTCTTTTGTTGTTTGTTAAAATATTAGCAATAACAAGATGAATAAGATGTGCATTCTGCCTTTGTGAGGACCCTACCATATAGAGAGGACAGTGGTATATATACTTCAGCTTACTGTGGTGTATATGACAGTGAGTTCTGTGGTGTGCAGAGTACCGTGCCCAATAGGAGTACTGTGCATGGGCAGTTAGGGAAAGTGGCATTAGAAAGAGGTGTTCAAAGAATGAGAAGAGTCAGTACGCTGAAGAAACAGACTATTTCAAGGTAGACAGGTAGGAAGGAATATTGTTTAGTTGGAGAATACCAGTGACAGGAAGATTAGGTTTATGTGCATTGAGTGGGTAAGAAAGAGAAAATATAAAATTACGGAGAGTGTTAAAAGTGGAGTTAAGAAAATGTACAGTCAACTCTGCTTTTAATTGGGAAAGAAAGATATAATAAATATAAATTTTTAGTACAACAAGCTTACATTTAGTAGTTTTAAAGTTCATCATGAGATGTTAATCTTAGATCCTGATGATAGGTATCAATTACATAATTGAATCCTCTTCTTTTTCTAAGTTTTACGTATTTATTTGCCTTTATATTCAAAGTATATTGATAAAAGGTTTATGACAAGTAGACAATATATGATGAACTATGGTAGATAATTAAAAAGTGGCTCAATTTGGTTTGGCTTAAACTGTACTGAGTTGAAACTAATATGCTCTAGTCATATTGGGAGTTTTTAAGGCAGAGACTTGTACTTTTTTTTCCCCTTTAAGTATTTTATAAAAGATAATTTTAACTTTTATTTAAATTCATGGAGTACATGTGCAGGTTTATTACATGGGTATATTGCATGATGTGAGGTTTGGAGTCTGAATGACTCCATCACCCAGGTAATGAGCATAGTACATTCCATCACCCAGGTAATGAGCATAGTACCTGATAGGTCTTCAAGGCCCCTCCCTCCCTTTATTAGCTCCCAGTGTCTATTGTTGCCATCTTTATGTCCCCTACTTGTATTTTGAGTATAGAGATTTACATTAATGGCAAGTTTATTCTACTTTTCTAATTGCTTTTACTGCCTACAAAGCTTGCTCAGTGTAACAGGTCAGGCAGTTGCATTTAGAGAAGAGACTTAGAAAGAGAATTTGTATTCATTTTTTAAATACTCTCAGTCTATGCTTTATCAATATGTTATATATTATGTATTACATACTATGAAAAATAAATCAAAAGATCCCGTTGGTAACAGTGCCAAATGCACAAACCAAAGAATATTTTCAAATTTTAAAATTATGAAGGAAGATAAAATTTTGTGTGTGGTTTACTGCTCCTCAATTTTCATGGTAAAGAAGTTAAAGCCATTTATAAAAATGTGTTGGCAATTAAGTTTGTCGTTTTAGTTGGGCACACACTTTAGAAATAAGAAACCTTTGTATAGAATGATTTGATTTTCTGGGAAAGAAACAGTAGAAAATCATCTATGGGGTGGCTCATGCCTGTAATCCCAGCACTTTGGGAGGCTGAGGCAGAAGGGCTTCTTGAGGCCAGGAGTTTCAGACCAGTTTGGGCAAAATACTGACCTAGTGAGACCTCCATCTTGTGAAAAAGAAAGAGAGAAAGACAGAAGAGAGAGAAAGAAAGAAAAAAGGAAATAGCAAAAGTCAAAATCAACTGAATAAACTAATTTCTTAGAATGGAAAAATACATTTTTTACATGTTTATCTCTTTTATTTTAAAATTCTAAAAGTAAAACCTATTCAAAATCATATTTACTCTGGTTTAATAGTGAATTCTGTTTCTATGAAAATTATATTAATTTTTTGAATTCAAGAAATTAGAGAAAGCATACTTTAAATTTATTAAAATAATTGAATGTCTCCTATCACTTTAATTATAGCAATTATAATTACATATACCATGTATCTATCACATTGCGAAGCACTTTAGGTATTTATATATTTTAGTTCTCCCAAATATCTTTATGAGAAGGGCAACAGTATCCCCATTTTGTGTGTGAGGAGCCTATACCCGAATGTTACATACCTAATAAGTGACAGAATTAGAATGTGAACTTAGGCCTGTCTAGCTGTGAAACCCACGCCTTGAACTCATTATTGTAGCTATTAAGATTTGTCTGGACATCCTTGCAGCTTAGTAATTGCTTTCAATTGACAGTTGTTTTAAAAATCATTTCCCCCTATTAATATATTCATTTAAGTGTTTCTACAACACCTGTATATCTAGAATAATTTTAAGGTAATAGACCAGAAAGTACTTATTAAAGGTTTACATATACCATGAAGTTTCTAAGCCAATTTTCAATAGTCATGAAATGGAAATTTACCATAATGGACAAAATAAGACTTTTTTGTATAAAATTGCCTCAAATCATTGAACTCTATTGAAGCATTATTGTAAAAGATTCCAACTTACAAGAACACTGGAATAATTAATACTTCTACTAAAATGCCTAGATGCCTCGTGGTGGCTCACGCCTGTAATCCTAGCAGTCTGGGAGGCTGAGGCGGGTAGATCACTTGAGGCCAGGAGTTCAAGACCAGCCCAGCCCGTATGGTGAAACTCCATCTCTACTAAAAATACAAAATTAGCGGGGTGTGGTGGCGCATGCCTGTTATCCTAACTACTTTGGAGGCTGAGGCAGGAGAATCGCTTGAACCCTAGAGGCGAAGATTATACAGTGAGCTGAGATCACACCTCTGCACTTCAGGCTGAGCAACAAAGTGAAACTCCATCTCAGAAAAGACAAACCAACAGATATACACATAACCCTAAAAGTAGCAGCCACTGCATTAGAATATGGAGTAGAATTACCAGGTTTATAATTTTGAATTAAAAGTTCCATAGATTTTGAATGTTTTATATTTGTTCTCTTCTAGTGTGAATGTGTAATAGGAAACAAAAGTAATAATAAATATATCCATTAGGTGTAGCTTTTTATTAAGTAGAAATTAATTTTGAATCTACAATTAGGTTTTTTCTAGTGATTGTCTTTTGAATTTAAGTTTTCTTGGATTCTGATTTTTTTTTTCCTATCTTCTGTACACATAGTCTCACCTGCTAAGTTTAGAATGTCTTATTTTTAAAAAGATTTTGATTGAAAAATAATGAACTGTGTCAAAAATCTTGATTTACCATAACTGTTTCATGCATTTGGTTTTCTTTCTTTTCTTAGATTTCTATGGGAAACCGCTGCCTCCCCTGGCTGTGCCACAGCGACCTAACAGTGACGCTCACGACGTGATCTCATAAACAAGTCATATTGGCAAGGTGAACTGGGACATTCTTCTTTCTCAGAAGAAGAAACAAACATCTTGAATACTGATAACTGGGGCAAGATAACCATAGTGATTTTAGTGAGAAAATTAATACTCAAGGACCTGACTTGATAATTACTTCTTTGTGTTTTTCATGGTTAAAAAAGAAAGGAAGCACAATGACCAGTACATAAAATCAGCATTTGGACCAAATTAGCAAGATTGGTATTGACTGGTGTACACATCCCCACTCATGAGCATACTTCTGAAGGAAACATTAGAAAAGAGCCAGTGGACTCTGCACTTTCTTTATTATTTAATAGTCTGTATTTCTAGATATTAAGTGTTTTTAAAAAGATACATGCACATAGAAGGGGAAGTTCTGGGAATTTATACCCAAAATTTAAAAACTTTTTATATTTTTTTAAACTTTAAAAATTTTAATTACTGCGATATTGATTATATACCTTTTTAATAGATGACTTGTTTAAATTGTGTCTGAAAAACAGTGTGGATTTACTTTCAGACATGAACTATACAAACAGGATATATTTATGTGGCTTGAGGTATGTTTTGTAATTCTTTAAGTGTACATCCTAATTTGACCTGATTTAAAAATAATATATTTTTCAAATAGTAGATTCTCAGATCTTTATTCTACCAATTATATGATTTGAAAACAGTACTCAGTGAGAGAGACTGGAAATACCTTTTTTACCTAAATGTTTTTGAAATTAATCAAAATACATTCTGTGACATATTATTAAAATATCTCGGGGCCAGGCATGGTGGCTCATGCCTGTAATCCCAGTACTTAGGGAGTCTGAGGCGGGCAGATCACCTGAGGTTGGGAGTTCGAGACCAGCCTGACCAACACGGTGAAACTCTGTCTCTAGTAGCAATACAAAAATTAGCCGGGCATGGTGGTGCATGCCTGTAATTCCAGCCACTTGGGAGGCTGAGGCAGGAGAATCACTTGAACCCGGGAGGCAGAGGTGCGGTGAACTGATATTGTGCCATTGCACTCCAGCCTGGGCAACAGCAGCAAACTCTGCCTCAAAAAAAATCTCAAAGTCCTATTTTAAAGGTTAGACACCTTCAGGGATCAGGTGCTGCCTGTTACTCCCTTATTCTGTCAGAAGCTGCAGTTACTCTTTAGGTGATTCTGACTCTTCATGCCTTGAAATTAACAGCAGAAAGACTGAAAAACCTACTGCAGGCCCGGAGACTTGTGTTTTACAGCTAGAAAATAGCTTGGGTACTAAAGCAATGAGAATAAAAATGTGGGCTCAGATCACTTAAGAAATGATTCCGAAATAATTTCTTAAGATGATAGTAGTGCTCTTGCACTTAAAAGTGGCTAAGATTATGTATTTGGCATTTAGTCAGTCTTCTACATGTATATTTTGAATAATAGATTCTTAATGTTGCATTTAATTGAAAACAAAACTTTATATCCCGGTGAAAATACTGTAACAATGATTTCTGTATCACCTTGTTAAGATTGGTGCTTTTCGTAACTTGTACTGACACAGTAAACATGTTAGTATCTGACAGTAACATTAAGTACCTTTTATGCTGTTTAATATAATTATTTACTTAAAAATTTTACTTCAGAGCATCAGATTTTATTCAGATTTTTTAACTCACTGAACTTCAATAATCAGGTCACCTATAGTCAGCATTGTATGTATTCTTGGAGTTTGTACATGGGACTTATCAACCACACTGAATTAAAAGAATTTGCCTTCATATCTGTAATTCATACATTTGTAAACTTGAGAGGTGGACGACACGTGATGAAAAGCAACACAAAAAGACAATGTAAATTTTGAAAAGGATTTGAGAGAGAAAATTGTACAACTTTTTGTAACATTTACTCAATTTTAAACTCATACTTTTGCCATCTTTTTAATATTTACTTTGGGAGTATATGTGTCTTTAAATTTTTGTTTTCTGTCTCTGTTTACTATAATGTGGCTACTGACTTCATTAAATAAAAATAAATTATTTTGAAATTAAATATATTATAAAATAGAATTCATGTTTTATATACCTCTCTCAAAAAATTAAGTTTTTTTTTCCTTAAGCTTTTTAAAAACACTTTAAAATGTTTTGTAAATCCAGGTATATTTTTAACAATGAAATGCCTATTTTATTATATGTCACAGTTTTATTCTGAATTTTGACATTTTCACATAATAAAAATAATTTATATCAATATTCTGTTTCTTTTTTCATTTGGTAGATTTAAATGATTTCCTTTGCATAATAAAATAGGTAAAGATTTTAAAATATGATTATTAAAAAGTTTAAATCAGTAGATTAAAATAATGCTTTTTTTATTACTTTACACACAAAACTTTCTTCTCTCTGCAAGTTTTTATGTATATGGGAAAGAATGTTGTGATTTTAAATGTAGCAAAAAATAGTATTTCACCATATGGTGTTAGAGGATTTGATGTCTGTCTTGTGTTAAAGCTATTGGTCAACAGATACGTTTTTATTTATTTAAAAGATCATCTTGTGTGCCTTTATATGTAAAATGCATATTTTATAGTATGCATGTGATATTGTTTGTAACTGATGTCAAATATAAAACTATGCATAGAAACAACACTGGAAAGAAATGTAGTTTGGTTTACTTTTGTAATGAAGGAGGGAAATTTATAATTTTGTATAACTTATTTAAGTACCATGCTTTCTGCAAGTTTAAAATTAAGTGCTTTTATAAATGCCAGACGAAGACTAGAATTCTGTTAATATGTAAAACCTGTGAACAGCCTGGAACAGTTCACCTATAGAATAAACTAAAGAAGTCAAATGCTTCTAGATAGCAGAAGTTATTCACAAACTGAATTGCTTATACAAAGAACGCTGTAGCTTATAAACTATCAGCCTTGGCTTTAGTTAGTACATTTTTTGATAAGTGGAATATGCTTTGCAACTAGGATTCTGCTCATAATGGTTTATTAATTTATCAAGAAATATATTCCAACTGATCCAAAGAAGAAATTCAAATATTTTTAAATTTTCAATAAAGTACGGTATAGGTTATCAAAATAGCAGTAATCCTTTATCTTTTCGGAAACAGAATAATAGATGCCTGTTTTTTGGGGGGAATAAAAAGCAAGCCAGAAATGAAGTAGTTTTATTAAAGAGACCAGCTCATGATTAAATGGAAGATAGGAAAAAATTCATTTGCTTGTTGCGGGCGTGAGTTGTAAGTTCCTTCTGGGTGCTGATGAGGAAGCCATTTACAACCTAGGTAAGTGGATCAGTGGTTTCCAAATTCTTACAGTGTCTTCTGTCAGAAAACATTTTTAATATACATTGATGTTTAAGTTATTGTATTAGTTTGCTAGGGTGGCCATAATAAAGTATCACGGACAGTTTGCTTAAAAAACAGAAACTTGTTTTCTCAGTTCTGGGGCCTGGTAGTCTGAGACCAAGTTGGTGGGTTTGCTTTCTCCCGAAGCCCCTTCTTGGCTTATGGATAGACCCTGTCTTGTGTCCCCACATGGCCTTTTCTCTCCACTTGCCCACCCCCCCATTTTCTCAGTGTGTTCAATTTTCCTCTTTTTAATGATCTTTTATAACTTACCTCTTTAAAGGCCCATCTCCAAATACAGTCCCCATTCTGAGATTACTGGGGGATAAGGCCTCAGCATGAATTTTGGAGGGACAGATTTCAGCCCCTAACAGTTAACATGCTGGTTCTACTGCACTATGTACATTTTAAATACATTTCCCTAAAAAAAATTTAAAAAGACTACCTACAGCTTAATAAAAATAAGGCATTATATTTACTTCCTAGACACAGTGCATTGTCTGCTGGAGTTTGTACATGCCACATGGGTAAAATGAGAATCTCGCCTGATGTCTAAGCCTAAAGCGTGCCTGTAACTATGCTGTATTTTCTAGCACTGATCACAGGTTTCCTGTTGTTTTTCTGCCACACAGTTTAAGGAGCTAAGGGCTCTCTTGATGTCAGATTGTTTCACCACAAAGCCTGTCCTCATCTTTTTGACAACATAAACCTCTATGTGAACATGAAGGGTTTTGAGACCTGTTTTATATAAATATGAAAATTCATAAAACATAGCTAGCTTAGGAGTTGTTCCATAAATTACTCTGAAATACTTCTTAGATCAACTGACCTTACAATAAAATTGCTTGTGTTTGTTTAAAAGTGTGTTTCCTGCCTAGAGGTAAGTCCTTATTAAGCTGCCTGGCTCTTTAATACAAACATTGAAACCCAAAAACAAACTAATGTAATTTATGGTATTTGTGTCAGCTCAGTGTCTTATGTCTGCAGTGGTTTGATGCAAGTCTGCTAAGTTTTTATTCCTAAAAATGTAGAATTGTTCATTCTTTGGTAGCTATTTGGGGTGGGTGGGGATAAAATCCGTTAACATTCTGATGATATACAAATACTGATTCTAGATAGATTAAGAGGTTAGACATAAAATATCAAACTATGAAAAGGTAGGGGGAAAAACAGAAGTGTCTCCACTCTATGGGCAAAAATGTATAAGCCTGAAAGCAGTGGAATCAATTACAAACTCAACTGACAAAGCACAAAAATATTTGAAATACTTCTGCACTTAAAGTCAAATGGTTACAAGAAAAATTGGGTATTTTAACATCTGACATGGTTATCACCTCAAATAGAAATAAAATGATACTAATACATCTATAGATAAGTGGACATGAGCAGGTAACCCCCAAAAAAGAAATAACTAGTAAGATTTGAAAACCTACCCTAATTATGGTATAGTTAGGCATTATAAGGAGATTATTAGAAATTCAGACAATTCATAAGCAAAGTTGTTTATTTAAAATCAGAAAATGCATAGATGCTGAGTCCCAAAATTAGGTGGTAAAATAAATATGACCTCTTTCCAAGTATAACACATTGCCTTTCTCTAACAGAAATAAAGTATATGATTCTTACTACCTTCTTCAAATTTTTTGTATGAACGAGTGTATATCTTTTATTAAGACAGAACTGTTTTTATGAAAGAAAAATATGAAAATGGTTAAGTAAAATTAAATGGCTCCAAAAGTCTTACTATGAAAACAGCAGTCCTACCAGTTGTTCCTTCCAGGGGCAAGCTTTTCATTCTCTTAGTTTTTCCTTCTGGTATTTACCTTCATTGGTTTTTCCAAATTGTTATCTTTTTAGTTTTTCAAGTGAATGCATATATTAATACATGTAATTTACAAAAGCCTCTTCAGTTGATAATGTACCCTAACAGTCCCCTGCGCCATCCCTTCTACTTCTCCAGAGCAATGACTTTTAACTCTTTTAACAATGTCTTCTATTTTTTTCTCACCTAACTAGTCATTTCTTGAATATTTTATACATTACACAGTGATTTCTTGATTTGACAGATGAGAATTTAGCTCTTACACCATCGCGATCTTCATTTTTACTCCCATATTGTCCCAAAGTAGTTACCAGATTTCGGGGCTAAGCAGTCACCACATCATTATGAGTGTACATATTGCTCATTGTTGAGAAAAACTGTATTATGCTTACTTTCTATCCTGTACTTACTTCTGCCCTAGAATTAATTATTGCCTAACCAATCCTTCCCCCTTGTTTTTTAACTTTTGCTTCATCTTCAGTGAGCTTCTTTCCAAATGCCCCAAATCTGGCAATAACCTATTATTAAGAGAAGGGATCTCACTATGGTGGCCAGGCTGGTCTGGAACTCTTGGGCTGAAGCCCTCCTCTTGGTTAGCTTCCTGAGTAGCTGGGACTACAGGCATGGGCCATTCCATCCAGCTAACCTATTAATATTTTTGCTGTTTTTTTTTTTAAGCCAGCTCCATAGCTGGAATGTTGCCTGTGTTGGATTCTATTTGCTGGATCCATGGCTCCTCTGTTTGTGTACCCCTTCATTTTGCTGGAGGATTTCCTCCACTAGCTTCCCACGAAAGGGTACAGGGAGGTAACTCCTGAGTCTTTGCTTGTCTAAAAATGTATTATTTTACCTTCACCCTTGATTATTTGGCTGAATATAGATTTATCACTTGAAAATAACTTTCTAGAACTCTCAAGGCAGTGTCCCATTGTTTTGAGGTTCTTTTTCTAGACAGGGTCTCTTCTGTCACCCACGCTGGAGTACAGTGGCACAATCACAACTCACTGCAGCCTTGAACTTGAGGGCTCAATTGTTCCATCTCAGCCGCCCGAGTGGATGGGACTACATGTGTGTGCCACAATGTCAAGCAAATTTTTGTATCTTTTGTAGAGATGGGGCTCCACCATGTGATCTGCCGACCTCACCCCACAAAGTGCTGGGACCACAAGCCTGAGTCCCACACCCGGCCAGTTTTTCTTTTATTCTCTCTACTTTCTTCCTTTCTCAAAGGCATCTCAAATTCAGTGGGCCCAAATCCAAAGTCAAACTCCCTCAGAATATCCTGCTACCTCCAACTTTATCTTAAGTAAGTTTCTTACTCCACGCAATCCTTTGGTTTAAACTACCATTATCTCTCACTTGAACTTAGTTTGTTTTACTGCTTCTGTATTTCTTAAAATTATAAAATATTTCAAACAAACTATGTGTGGCTTTATACTTTTGACTACATAAAAAGAATGGAAGATCTGCTGGGTGCAGGGTTTATGCCTATAATCCCAGCACCTTGGGAGGCCAAGGTGGATGGATCACCTGAGGTCAGGAGTTGGAGACCAAACCAACCAACATGGCGAAACCCCGTCCCCACCAAAAATACAAAATCAGCCGGGCTTGGTGGCGTGCGTCTGTAGTCTCAGTCACCCCGGAGCCTAAGGCAGGAGAATCGCTTGAACCCGGGAAGGCAGAGGTTGCAGTGAGCAGATGTCGCGCCATTGCTCTATGCCTGGGCAACTAGAGGTAAACTTTGTCAAAAAAATAAAAAAGGTATGAGGAGCTTAACTACTTACACATGGAATTGCTTTGAGTGTTTGACATTCACTGTCCCCGTGCATTCCAGCAGCTTCTTACTGCAAACACCTGGGACTTGCTATAGAGCAGCTGGAGTACCTTCTGCCCACACACAGGACAGGGAGCTGACCACCAAGGAGTGGGGATCAATATTCCAGCTTTCTCCCCTCCGTTTCCCTGCTATCTCAGCAGTATGGAGCTTGTTACCAATGAGAACCTGCTCACTGGCTTTCTGCCCTAGAATTAATGATTGCCTAACCAACCCTTTAAACTGGTTTTCTTACCTTCTCAGTTCCATTTAGCAATACCTCAGCTGATGATTTCTGGTATGACCTAGCAAATGAACTACTTTCACTGAAATTTCAGTCTTGGAATCTGCTTTGGGTTCCCCAATCTAAGACAGAAAAAGACTCATTTTCCCATCACTGGACTTCCAGGTCGTTTTCAATTTTTCACTGAAACACTTGTCTACGAACCTCTGGATGTACACGTAGGAAATATTTGATATTTCCCACTAGTGAAACTGCTCAGTTGAAGGGTGTGCTCATCTTCATCTTTAATAACTTCTACCAACATCTGAAAAGCCCAGCAATGTCAAGGACTGGCAAGAGTGCCACACGTGACGGGTGTGGAATGGCAGCTCACTGTAGCAGGTGCTGGCAACTCAGTCTGGGTCTTGGAGAGGCATTTAGTTACAGCAAGAATATTTCATAAATGGTATCTGATATATTCAAGATTAGTGGGAAATAACATGTTGCTTAGAAATAATTATCAATAGATCTAAAGTCAACAAAATCTTTTTTTCTAACATAAAAACACATACTTTTTTCAAAGGGAGGGGGAACACAACTTAAACCGGAAAACACTTTCATATTAATCGTTCTTCTCATATACTTCAAATTTGTACTTAATGCCTTTCTCCTCCTGGACATCAGAGAGAACGCCTGGGTATTCTGGCAGAAGTTTCTATTTCTCCAAATCAATTTCTGGAAAAAATGTGTCACTTTCAAAGTCCTGCATGATTCTTGTCACAAATAGTTTAAGGTGGCCTGGGCGATTCATGGCTTCCTTATAAACAGAACTGCCACCAACTATCCAAATCATATCTACTTTATTTGCTAATTCCGGTTGTTCAGTAAGGTTTAATGCATCATCCAGACTTCTGGCAAGAAAATGAGCTCCTTGTGGAGGTTCCTGGAGTTCTCTACTGAGAACGAAATTAATTCTATCCTTTAAAGGTCGATTCTTCTCAGGAATGGAGAACCAGGTCTTCCTACCCGTAATCACCAGATTCTGTTTACCTTCTATCGAGGAGGTTGTGGTCATTCTCTGGAAATACCTGAATTCATTTCTGAGTGGCGGCCAGGGCAGGTCCCCCTTCTTGCCGATACCCATGTTTTGGGACACTGCGACGATGCAGTTAGCAAACGAACCATGATAGTAATGAACACCTCCTGGCCCGCTCACTAGGTGGCCAAGATTGGCGTGAAAGTCCCTTCTTCAAATTATTTCACATGTCCACATTGCAAAGACAATACGAGTGTATTAATTCAATAATTGCAACATTCTGGAATAAGCATAGAAAAATAAATTATATAAAATATATAAATGCATATTTATAAAACATAAATTTGTGAAATTATAAAAAATACAGAGGCTGAGAAGTAGAGTGACTTTTCCACAAACATTAAACAGGCAGCATCCAAGAGATGCCATCATTTCACTCCTGAATACCTTATGGTCTTTTGTACCAAGACTAAATTCTAATAATATGCATTTTTAGGTGACTTGGAAACTTGTTTAAATAAATATATTAAGCTTCAAGTCAGATTAGTGGGAAAGACATATTTTACATGAATATAAGACTTGTACCTATAGCACGTACCTATACCGATATGAGCATCAAGAGGCATCAAAAGTTTATGTTTATTAAATATCAGGGACCATATCAAACTGATTTTTTTCTAACTGCTAATTGTTGCTACAAATGAGTGCTACCTGAAGCCTAACACCGAAATAGTAAATTAACTGCTATTCCTATCAACACAGGCGTAATAAACACCTTCCTTCTAGAACCATTAAACGTTGCTCCTTGCTAAAGTTGGGGGAGGCTAGAGTGGCGGGTCCTTTTTGTCTTCATGCATTTGGTGTCAACGCGATAAAAATCACAATGAGCACAGCAGTGAAAATAATAGCAGCAGCTAACATTTGCTATTTCCTAATCACTGTGCTAACCGTTTTACCTGTGCATTCAGTTTCATCATTTAACACTCCCCATTAAAAGAAGGAGATTATCCTCAGGGGCCAGGTTTGGGGAAAAGCATCACTTAATTTCTTTTTTTTTTGAGACAGAGTTTCGCCCTTGTTACCCAGGCTGGAGTGCAATGGCGCGATCTCGGCTCACCGCAACCTCCGCCTCCTGGTTCAGGCAATTCTCCTGCCTCAGCCTCCTGAGTAGCTGAGATTACAGGCGTGGCCACCATGCCCAGCTAATTTTTTGTATTTTTAGTAGAGACGGGGTTTCACCATGTTGACCAGGATGGTCTCGATCTCTTGACCTCGTGATCCACCCGCCTCGGCCTCCCAAAGTGCTGGGATTACAGGCGTGGGCCACCGCGCCCGGCCGACTTGATTTCTTTTTCATTATATTCCACCCTTTTATCCTTGGGTACTGCATGTCTAGGCTAACGGGGGTCATCAGATTTGGTAGATTAGATCCTAACTAGTTTCGCTTTGAGAATAGTTTAAAGCAGTCATCACACAACACATGGCCGGGCGTGGTGGCTCACGCCTGTAATGCAAGCACTTTGGAGGCCAAGGCGGGCGGATCACCCGAGGTCGGTCGGGAGTTCAAGACCAACATGGTGAAACCCCGTCTTTATAAAAATAAATAATAATAACAAGCCCAAAACTCATTGTTTCACTGAGCCTATGCACACATAGGCCGTTCAGCACAATATGTGACTATCTTTGTATTTCTTTTGAGACGCGGCCTCACTCTGTCGCCGAGGCTGCCGTACAGTGGCGCGACCACGGCTCCCTGCACCCCAAACCCGCGCTCGAGCAGTCCTCCCACCTCAGCATCCGCAGAAGCTGGGGCCACAGGCGCGCGGATACGTGACTTCCTAAGGTCGGGACGCCCAAAGCTCCGCCCAGCAATCCAAGTAGCTAAACTCGCCTTTGCCCTGACCCGCGGCCTCCGCGTCCCGGGAGGTAGCCGCCTTTACCAGCAACCGGAAGTCACCGCGCGTGAATCTCCCGCGGGACCTCAGCCTCTTCGACGAGATTTCTACAGCGCGGGCAAATCAGTATCTCGCGATAACTTGCAGAGGCACTGTGAGAGTGAAAGTGGCTGCCTGTGGAAGTCAGGCTGTTCTTCCGGTTCCCTGGAGGCTCTTTGATGCCGGTTCGCGTCCACCTCTTGTCTGAAAGCTCTCAGCGGGACCATGCTGACCCCGGTGAGGCCTGGGGCCCGGCTGGGTGCCTCTCTAATGAGACGCTTCTGTACGCGGCCAGGGGGCGAGGGAGGGTGCTGGATCGGGGACATCGCCTGTGATCGCCCCCTGGCGGCATCAGCGTTTCTCTGTCTTTCCCGGCAAGGCCTGGAATAACGCTAAGTGCCGCGATGCCGGGTCCCTGCGGCGCAGCTCGCAGACTTGGAGCCCTTGGCAGGCTGGGGTTTGTTCTCTGCGTCATGGCTGTACCCCGGGAGCTTAGACGTTGAATACACGTTTCCTGGGGGGAGTAAATGACACTGGCAAGGAGGTCGCACAAGGAAATTTAGGTTTACAGAGTTCGCAGATGCCTTTCACCCCGTTATCTTGAGGTCACCCACGGTGACTTTTCAGTGTCGTTGAGAGACAAGGTCTGCTCTGTCCCTCGAGCCGGAGTGCAGCGGCTGGGTCTTAGCTCACTGCAACCTTGAACTCCTGGGTCAGCGATCCTCCAGCCTCGGCCTTGCTGGTAGCTGGGACTGCAGGAGCGGGCCACCACCTGGCTCGTTTTTGTTTTTGTTTTTTTTTTTTCCTTTTGTAGAGACTGGGCCTTGGTATGTTTCCCAGTCCCGTCTTGAACAGGGAAATAATCCTCTCGCCTCTTCCCCGCAAAATCGCGGCTCACTGCAACCTCCACCTTCCGAGTTCAAGCGATCCTCCTACCTCAGCTTCCTGAGTAGCTGCGATTACAAGCGCCTGCCACCACTCCCGGCTAATTGTTGTATTTTTAGTAGAGATGGGGGACTCCCATGTTGGCCAGGCCGGCCTTGAACTCCTGACCTCATGTGATTTTCCCACCTCCGCCTCCCAAAGTCCTGGGATTACAGGTGTGAGCCACCAGCCCAGCCCCTACAATGACTTTTTACAGTTAATGTGTTCCTTTTGACAGTTTACTCAGCCCCGGTAGAGTCTCTTTTAGCCTTTACTTCACATTTGGAAAATAATTATTTGGAAAAACCTTGCTTTTTCGATAAGTAGGTAATGTACAGTTTTGGTACTTGTAAGGTATTGCTCCCATTTTAAGAACTAGTAATTATCCAAAGAAAGTGTTCTTGTCTTGAAAAAAAAAACTTTTGCTAATGTTGAAGTTCAATAAATGTGTAATAATATCAGTGTGTGTCAGCAGCCTCTTCTTATTGTCATAGCTGAAGGGAAAATCAGAAGGGAAGCTTGCAAAACAGATTTGCAAAGTTGTGTTGGATCACTTTGAAAACCAGTATTCTAAAGAACTCGGAGATGCCTGGACTACGGTAAGGTTAGTATAATTCATCTCGATGCTTTATGATGGAACAAAGAACGATATATACTCCTCCTTTCTGTGGGAGGGTTGCCGTGAGGGTAAAAGGCAAAGGAATCGAAGCCTGGGTGTCCTTTCCCACCACGGTTATAGAGAGGAACGGCTTGGAGGAGGTAGACTGAATCATGGCATAATGGAGAGGGGAGAAAGAAAGCCTCACACATTGCGCTGCCTTTGCTTTGAGCAGTCGCTTTTATCCTTGAAATAGGAATGCCCATTAGTTTGACAAAATTAATTATACTGTAAAAGAAAATCATAAAATTCGGATTATTTGGTTTCTGAAATTTAGAAGATAACACAACAAATCTTTCAAGCCAGCGCCGCTTTATCTTAGGCAAAGGTACACTTCATTGGGTAATCATAGTTCTTTCCTATGTCTATGGCTGGGTATGTTTTGAACACATGCATATACACACAAAATTATTTATACTATGAAAAGAAATGCTTAATGCATGGAAGTAGGAGAAACGTGATTTGTATGTTTGGTAAGCTGCTGTTGATGAGTGGATCACTGTACGGGTTCTTGACAGAGTGCCTGATACACTGTATCATGCTCTCTGGAATACAAAGGGCAAGACAGTCCACATGTCCAGTTTACATGCAGTCTAGTTAGTGTTTATGAGCGGGGTGGGGAGCTGGGTGTGGTTACAACCATATAAACGGATTTGTAAATACTGCCATCAAAGTGTCTAACAAAGCCTGAGGGTGCCAGCCGAGGCCTGAGGGGGAGCTGGGTCTCTGGGTCTCGGTGACTTACAGGAGCTACTTTGACAAAAAGAACTAGACCTTCTAGGCTGAGGGGAGAAGGTGCTGTTCATGAAGTTAGGGCGAAAGCCCTCCGCATGTTGTGTGAGGGAGAAAAGTGACATGGCTGCAGATAATATCTGTAACTGAATCCAGACTGATCTTTCAGATGGTTGGCCTACCCATTTTCTTCTTCATCAACCGTAGGCATTTCTCCTTTACAAATGACCGTTCTAAGCATTTTTGAAAACAAAGAAATTAAGTTTTGGCTAATAAAAATCACAAAGGCTGAGGTGATTCTCAGATAATTTTAGGACAATTAAGCTGTTTTAGAAATTGGTAAATGCTATATTGTGCAAGCCATTTATATTTGTTGGTTTTATTTCAAACGTAGATTTTCAAATGGATATTTTCTGTCACAGAGATAAAAACAGAAAAAGTTATGTAATGAATTCATGAGGTTTTCAGTATACAAAGGTACTCAAATAGAATATGCAAATAACTGAACGTTTATTACATGCTTACTATCTGCCAGACATGCTGATTTATGTGATTCTCAGAGCAAACCCGTAGGAGTTTAACTCGCCAAAGTTCACTCAGCTAGTAAGTGGCGGAGCTGAGACTTGAGCCTAGCTTGGCTGACAAGAACTCCCACCGCTCATCCTTTTTCTATGCTGTCTCATATCTGGGATATAATTTAAAAAAAAGGACAAGATTTTAAGAGGTATTTTTTTTCTGTAGACTTTATAGCAGTCTGGCTCCTCGTTTTTCTACTTAGTGTACTTATTTTTCTACTTAGTGTACTCAGAAAGTCATATAGCATTTCTTGACCCTAAACAATATGAGCAGGGAACCGCAATGCCATTTAATTAGCTGTACCTTCTGCTTCATCTACCATATTATTGGGTTTTTGTTGTGATTTAAGTTTTACATAAACAAGCATTAAATTTGCCATTGGCAAAATAAAGGCTTCTCAGCTTAGGAAGTAATCTGAGAGTAGAAGATGGTATGGGGAAATAAGAACAGAATGAAATATTTCGTTTCTTAACTGCTTGTTTGTAAGGCATAATGTACTTGTAGAGTCTAGTTCCAGGGAAAGTCAAGGGCATTTTTTTGGGGGGTCCTATTTAGAAAGATAATCTAATGATGTGATTTATGTTGAGGGCTGTGGACCACCGGTGTTAACCTTCAGAAAGGCTTGTGACTAAAAGCTATAAGGTCAATCAGTCATATGTACATGACCAAGGCTCTGGGAGTGTCCCCCCTGTGCAAACTGTCATACATCACTGCCAGTAAAAGCTAGCCTTGTTGAAGAGTCGCTCCTTCCAAGCACATGCACAGACCCCATGGTATGAAAGGCTCCTTATGTTCGGGAGTTGTAGCCCTTGATGCCCCACCAGAAACTCAAAGGAGTTCCTGTTTGAGGTGTAGTGAGTAACAGATCTGGACACAAATTGCCCTTCTGTGAGATGCAAGGAATAGCCATTGCCAAAATAGAATAGGAAGCCATAGGCTCTTCATTAGCCTCTCTGAAGAATAAAAATAAAATGACTCAAAAACATATTTGGTGCATTTCCATAAAATTGATTTATATTTCATTTCCAAACAACTTTTTCAAAATGGTTGAGCGAGCGCCCTCTAGTGGATAAAAATAGCACTAAATCAAGGAATTTCTCTTAGGTATGGAAATTTACATAGGTTCTGTAATTCCACAGAGTTATATTGTGTTTAACAACTTCTGGATTAAATGATCTTTTGAAGGTAGGGTGGAGAGTAGAATAGTAGGAGAAAAGAATAAAGTCACAGAAAAGTTGAGTGAAAATTATACTCTCAAACATTATCCAAATATGTTACACAATTTTGCAAGATTTTAACTAGCTTTTCATTTTTTAATGCTTTGATTTTGTTAAAATAATAAGTAGTTTGGAGAGCCGTAAATCAAACTCTAATTTTATTAATTTACTCCGGGATTTAGGCCCCAGGCACTAAGCCAAGGAGACAGAGAAGAGTAAGTCAAGGTTCCCATATAAACAAGTGAGAGAAATGGGTCAGCAGTCAGGCTGACACACAGTGTGATGTATTAGCTTAGCTTCATCAGCTGTTTCTTAGAGTTCGGTTATTCCTGTGTACCATCTGTCCAGATTTGCTTAATAGTTTTTTCATCAGTTTTAATATTTTTCTTTTGTTCCTTAGGAATTTAAATATAAGCTAATTTTATTTCATTGTCAGTAAATAGATGTGTCTAGCATATGGTCGATATATGGTGTATTTTTAGAGAATGAATGAATTTTGACAAGATAATATACAATGGCTCACGCCTGTAATTCTAGCACTTTGGGAGACCAAGGCAGGGAGGATCACTTGAAGACAGGATTTCAAGACCAGCATGGCCAATATAGCAAGACCTATCTCTACAAAAAATAAAAAATTAGCTGGGTGTGGTGGTGCATACCTATAGGTCCAGCTACTCAGGAGACTGAGGTAGGAGGATTGCTTGAGTCCAGGAGGTCGAGGCTTCAGTGAGCCATGATTGTACCACCACACTCCAGCCTGGGTGACAGAGTGAGACCATGTTTCTAAAGAAAAAGAAGACAAAGCAGACTTACCATAGCAGAGGGAGGAGCAACAATGAGTGAGATACAGAAAGGCTTTCCAAGGGGTATGTAGGCTCAGGTAAGGGACAGCCGTCAGTTTTCAGATCCTCAGCTTTCATGTATTCTCTTTCAGAAAATTACTCTGCCCCTCTCTATGTAAGGGGGTACATATTGTCCTTTCCCAACCTGCCTTTCTCCAATTTTCTGTCACCCTGTTTACAAAAAACGGCATTCTTGCACTATTCTGGCTTCTGTACTGCATCCCTCCAGGTATTCAAAACCTCCATGTGCCAGAAACTATTGGGGTGTCAGTGTGAGAAAGCAAATGACCTAACAGATTCTCTGACAAGTCAGGTGGTTTCCAGGTTTGGCTTTCAATAAAAGTAAAGGAGCCCTGATTGAGATGTCAGCTAACAACTCATTTAAAATATTTGTGATGATAGGTCGCTAAGTGATTTGGGGATGTAACTCTAAAATAATTCCAAGTAAGAAGCATTGCTGTAACACAATATATTTCATTCTCATCCATTCATTTAACTGAAAGTTTTTCTCAGTTATAAAAACACAAAATGTGCATAAAAATTATGTTGAGTCCTGACTCATTTTATTATAGTAAGAAGTAATATTTATTCATGGATACATGAAAACAAAAGCTCATTTCATTAAAATATCCGTTTCTTACCAGTTTTACTTTTACATTTATAAGTTGTTTTGATCAGTTTTGTACTAATAATATTATTGATCCCTGAATCCAGAAGTTACTCTTTTAACATTCAGAAATTTAAGACCACAGGAAAAACAAGTTTAGTACATACGCATATGTATATGTGGTGCTAGAGAAGTATGATAGGGTGATAAAAAAGGTTTCAGGTATGAAAATATATTAGGATAAAGTTATATAAAGTAGAATGTAAATCAAAGCAGAAAATGAGCAGCATAAAATTTCCACCTATTAAAGATGAGTCAGTCTATGAATTTTTAAATGGATTGTGGTGGGTATCAAACTCGTTCTGATATTTAGGTTCCACTGGCCACATTTTTAAAAGCAGTGTAATTTGTATTTTAAAATGCCAGTTTGTACAGTATGCTGGGAATTGCATCCTTTAAACATATGGTGAGGATTTTAATGTCAACCTAAAATGTGTTTTTCAAAATGGTATCAGTGATGTACTAGCAAATTTGCAGGTCACTGACCTCGTGTGTCTCCGTTTCTGCTGGTACTGAGGTGTTTGCACTTCTCACCCGGAACACCAGCGACTGGAGCAGCTTCTGACTAATTGTGAATCTTGGGAGAAGGCCTGGAGTGTGGTACCTGGCCACTGTTTTCTAGAGTCTTCTTATGTACGTTCCCTCTGCCACCTGTTAGACTACTTGCCCATCCATCAAAGCTTTGGATTTGGAAGCCACTTTCCCTCCAGACCCAGGGTAGCCACCCACCCAGTGCAGGCATGGGAGGGTGTGTGTGAGTGTGAGAGTGTGTGTGTATGTGTGTGTGTGTGTGATGTGAGAAGAATGAAAGACAGCGGCAGGTGTGTGTATTATATTAATAGTAAAGCTGTGTGTTATAAGTTAGAGTAATTAACTAATAAAGCTGTGTATTTTATTAATAAGTTAGAGTAATCAACTAATAAAGCTGTGTATTATATTAATAAATTAGAGTAATTAATAAAGCTGTGTATTATATTAATAAATTAGAGTAATTAACTAATAAAGCTGTATATTATATTAATAGAGTAATTAATAAAGCTGTGTATTATATTAATAAATTAGAGTAATTAATAAAGCTGTGTATTATATTAATAGAGTAATTAACTAATAAAGCTGTGTATAATATTAATAAATTAGGGTAATTAATAAAGCTATGTATTATATTAATAAATTAGAGTAATTAACTAATAAAGCTGTGTGTTATATTAATAAGTTAGAGTAATTCACTAATAAAGCTGTGTATTATATTAATAAGTTAGAGTAATTAACTAATAAACCTGTGTATTACATTAATAAATTAGAGTAATTAACTAATAAAGCTGTGTATTTTATTAATAAATTAGAGTAATTAACTAATAAAGCTGTGTATTAATAAATTAGAGTAATTAACTAATAAAGCTGTGTTATGTTAATAAGAGTAATTAACTAATAAAGCTGTGTATTAATAAATTAGAGTAATTAACTAATAAAGCTGTGTGTTATGTTAATAAGAGTAATTAATAAAGCTGTGTATTTTATTAATAAATTAGAGTAATTAACTAATAAAGCTGTGTATTATATTAATAAATCAGAGTAATTAACTAATAAAGCTGTGTATTATATTAGTAAGTTAGAGTAATTAACTAATAAAGCTGTGTATTATAAATTAGAGTAATTAATAAAGCTGTGTATATATTAATAAATTAGAGTAATTAACTAATAAAGCTGTGTATTAATAAATTAGAGTAACTAATAAAGCTGTGTTTTATATTAATAAGTTAGAGTAATTAACTAATAAAGCTGTGTATTTTATTAATAAATTAGAGTAACTAATAAAGCTGTGTATTAATAAATTAGAGTAATAAAGCTGTGTATTTTATTAATAAATTAGAGTAATTAACTAATAAAGCTGTGTATTAATAAATTAGAGTAATTAACTAATAAAGCCGTGTATTTTATTAATAAATTAGAGTAATTAACTAATAAAGCTGTGTATTATATTAATTAGAGTAATTAACTAATAAAGCTGTGTATTATATTAATAAGTTAGAGTAATTAACTAATAAAGCTGTGTATTTTATTAATAAATTAGAGTAATTAACTAATAAAGCTGTGTATTATATTAATAGAGTAATTAACTAATAAAGCTGTGTATTATATTAATAAATTAGAGTAATTAACTAATAAACCTGTGTATTTTATTAATAAATTAGAGTAATTAATAAAGCTGTGTATTTTATTACTTAGAGAAACTAATAAAGCTGTGTATTTTATTAATGTTAGAGTAATTAACTAATAAAGCTGTGTATTATATTAATAAATTAGAGTAATTAACTAATAAAGCTGTGTATTATATTAATAAATTAGAGTAATTAACTAATAAAGCTGTGTATTATATTAATAAATTAGAGTAATTAACTAATAAAGCTGTGTATTTTATTAATACACAGCTTTGCTTTCTCAGGCCTAGGAAGCACCAGCCTGAGCAGCCTTAGCAGACCCTTCAAGAGTTGGTCTGTTGCAGCTGCCTCTATAGGCAGGATATGACAAGCTGATTTCATTGTTAGAGACGAGGGTTTCAGGGAGGTCAGGGCCACTTGCACTAGTTGAGGGTTGGGGTAAAATTTTCTTTCCTGCACCCTTGTGTAGCTCTGTGCTGTAGTACAAAGGTCTCACACTTTGGGAATCACTCCTGTTAGGCCTTAAAGTCAGTCTGATTTTGATCAGATACTTCCGCCTACCAGCCATGTGACCTCGGGTAAGTTGCCAAATCTCTAAAATCCTCAGTTAACCGCTAAAATAGGAGTAAGAGCTGCCTCTCTCAAGGTTGGTGTGATGATTCTATGATATAAACGTGCAAAGTGAACATTGTACACATCCAATCAGTAACATTTATTAATAATAATATCAGAGAATGGTGGAGGATATGAACTGGGTGGAAAGGCTTCCTTAGGTAAAACTCCCTAAGTTGAGAATGCGTGGGTGAAAGAGGAAAGGTTATTACAGTCAGGGTCGGGGGCATAGTTATGTGGAGACCAGTAAATGTTAAAGAAACTCGTTAGGGGAGATCTTCAGTAGGATTGGGCATAGATCATGAAAGATCACAAATTTCATTTGTTCTATTTAGGCCTTATTTTGTCTAGTCACTAAAGAATGAGATAGAATGATCTCTGAAGAGTTCTACATCAATCTTCAATAAGTACATGTCTTTAAGTCTGATTGGGGCTCTCGCTCCCTAACGTCTTTAAATGGCTTCTCATCACTTTGCAGAGAAGATTCAAAAACCTTATCATAGTATACTTGGTAATCTTCTGCCATGATCCACACCAGACTACTGAAAATTCAGTGTTCTTTCTCATACCTGTTTGCTCATACATGTGGTATTGGCTTTGTCCTGAAACTCCCTTTGTCATTTCTTCCTAGAGATCATTTCTTCTCATCCTTCAAGATTTAATGTATTGAGTAATGTACAAAAGTAATGTTTTTCCTAAATTAATAATCCTCTTAATAAGCTTAAAAGGAAATATCCAGGATTAATAACCTTCCTAAGAGATATGGAAGAAAATGTGAATAAATGGAGAAACATATTGTGATCAGCATTGGAAAAACTGATTACAATAAAGACGTTACATCTCTCCAAGTTTAATGCATCTAATATAATATTAGGCAAGGTTACTATATCTCTACCTGTCTACTTACACAAATATTTTATAAATGTTTTTTAACCTTGTTTCCAAAGTTCATAAGAATAAACATTCAAGATAGTTTCAAAAATTCTGAAAAAAAAAAAAAAAAAAAGAAAGAATGAATAGAGTTGTCCTGTCTGATACTAACTGAAAGTGTCCTACTCCTTTTTAGCTGAGGGGTAGGCACATGATGCAAGCCAAGCCGCTCCTGTCTGTATAATTGTGTTTCTGACCATCTTTTTGTTACACGTGACTCAACACTGGATAGCTTTTTCAGCCTGTTTGGAGGGTAAGATTAGGGCGAACTACCATAAGATTTGCAATAGTGAGCATTTGCAGATCTCACTTTGGGGTCAGTTTTAAATTGGTCTCTCCCAAAGTGTGGTCCTGGGTATGAGCAGCATCAACATCACCTGAAAACTGCTAGAGATAAAAATTTCAGGCTCTCTTTCAGCCCTACTGAATCTGAAACCCTGGGTAGGTCCCTATAGTCTTGCATACTTGTTTGTGAACCTCTTTCTTAAGGAAAGAGGTTGTCATCCTCCAAAATAGCTGAAACAGATATGCCATGCTCCTGTGACACACCATCCATAGTAAGAGGCAGTGAAAGGAAAAAGCAGTTTCACATATTAGCCCTAAATTGAAATTCACATGGCACGCTTCCAGTCACAGGTGTTACATTTCAATCCAGCCATTTCTCACATAGGCAACTCCACGGTGTATAGCAGCTGGAATTTATTTAATTGGCCATAGTTAATGAGGCTCCCAAATAACTCAGCTAGAAAGGTCAGCTAGTAAATAAATTAAATATTTCCTGCTGGATCGTCTGTCAGTTGATAGGAGTTTGTGATTGTCAAGAGATGGAACTCTTGGATCGAATACAGATTTAGAAAGGTAAAGCTGCTGGGGGAAAGCCTGCACCATCAATCCATAAGTGGTTTTTAAATCATCCTTGGTTTTGTATCATCTGAGCCACTCATCGCCTCGTTAACTCCATTACTGTAGAGTTCACTGTCGTTAGCTTCCCATACCTTGTATCTTCATCAGAAGAAAACACTCATTCCCTCTAACACCCTTTCATGATAGTGCTTTTCCCTCTAATATTAATAGTTTCTAAGAAATTGAATAGTGGTTCTAAGAAAAACACTTCTTTGTGCAAAGAGTGATGGAGAAAGATTCATTCTGACAGATTTAGAGGTATGTAAAGGCAGGCCGTTTTTTGTTTTTGTTTTTGCTTTTTTTTTTTTTCAAGCTATTCTGCAGGGAGGGACTAAGCTGCGTGTAGGCTGAGGCATACCTCTCTCGTGCAGAATTTAAGGGGCCTCAAAGAACTTAGTAATTATAATGTTACCAGTAGAGGGTCTTCCCTGCAGGTTGTCCAGGTTCTTGGAGTTTTGAACAAAGAATTGGACAAAACGCACAGCAAAGCAAGGAAAGAATGCAGCAACAAAAGAGATTTATTGAAAGTGAAAGTACACTCCATTGAGTGAGACTGGCCAGAGCAGCGCCACAAGGATACAGAATCTTCTCAGGTTCAAATACCCACTAGAGGTTGCACATTGGCCACTCGGTGCTCACCTCGTATCAATGAAGTCGTGGCCTGCAATCAGTCTGATTGGTTGTGGAAAGCAACCAATCAGAGGCTGAAGTGAAGTTATAAAGTTGCATTTCTATGTAAACGTGTGATTGGTTGCAAAAAGCAACCAATTAGAGGTACTTTCAATTTCCCATCTGCCATGCAGAAAAGGAGGGGGTTTGCAAAGAAAGTAGTCCCTGGTCCTTTTGTTACTTGGGCATGGAAAGTTAGGGTTTTCCTTTCACTTCAGTTCTAGGAAGTCAGTGCGAAATGGCCTTAGGTTCCCTGCCTCCAGATCTTTATTCTCCTGCTCAATAATGTAATTAGTTTTTGAAAATCTACAATGAATGAAATACCAGTTTTTAAAATAAAGACAGGACATAACAATGCTGGAGTTAGTCCTATCGGAGCCTCATGAGGCAAAAGGAAGAGTCAGGCATACTGACCCTCTCTCTGCAAATCACAGGTGAGTGAAGTGTAAAACTAGGACCGTATTCACCCGATTCCTAATATAAAATTGTACTGGTATATATAATACTAATATCCTCTCAATTTCTCTCTTTCTATTTCTAGGGAGATTCTAACATCGCCGTCATGCTGGCAATATGCTGTCCTGCTTAACCGATTCAATTATCCTTTTGAACTGGAAAAGGATTTACATTTGAAGGGCTATCACACCCTCTCTCAGGGATCTTTTCCCAACTATCCTAAATCAATGAAGTGTTACCTTAGCAGAACTCCAGGCCGAATCCCTTCAGAAAGACACCAAGTTGGAAACCTGAAAAAGTATTACCTCCTAAATGCTGCTTCTCTTCTCCCAGTATTGGCTCTGGAATTAAGGGATGGGGAGAAAGTTCTGGATCTGTGTGCTGCTCCTGGAGGCAAATCAGTAGCTCTGCTGCAGTGTGCTTGCCCAGGTAGTGTGCTTTTCTTTTGTATTTAACAACGTTGTAACATCTGTATGTTACAGAATACTTTGAAAGAATACATATATGGGGAGAAACATTAGATCGAGTTTGCAAACTCAGGAAGCCTGAGAACTGAGACACTTGTGGAGAAGGTTGGAGATTGTTGCTGAGGAAGTCAGTATAAATAACATTTTTTTCAGCAACTTAATTCTAGCAGGTGATTGGGAATAAAACTTCAATATTTCATCAGTACAAACCTGTCAGATAATGTGAATGCTGATAAGCCTGATAGGTATATTTTATTGTTTATGTTTATACTTGAGAGTCTTATATAGATATCCCTGTCATACTTCTCTGCAACAGAATCATATACATTTAAAATAATTTTTTGATGTCAATAGACTATAAGGTTCTAAGGCAATTTCTTTCCAGTAGAAAAATAATGTGAAGTACATATATACTCTTACATTTTTAAGTAGTTCCATTTTAAAAAGTAGAAAGAAAACAGGTGAAATTAATTTGAATAATACATTGAACTGATACATTCAAAATATTGTTTTAATATGTAATCAGAGTAAAACTTAATAAGAGATATTTTACATTTTCGTTTTTTTTACAGGTCTTTAAAATTGGTTATCTTACAGTTACAGCACATTTCAGTTCAGACTATCCACATTTCAAATGCTTATAGACACGGGTGAGAAGAGGGTGCAGTACTGGCCAATGCAAAAAGGCTTTTCAAGTGACTTTTTGTTACCATTATTACTAAAATCAAAGTGATATACAGTTTTACAAGTATTTGTTAAAAGTAACAAGTCAACATTCATTATAACCTTTTCCTTAATAATTTTTCTTTTAAAGCTATTTTTTTTTTTCTTTTAAAACGAATACAGATTTCCCTGAGTAGACATTACTTATTGCTAGAGGGGGCAGAGTTCGTCATCAATTCTGTCTGGGTTTTGTGTGATAGTTTTGTTTTTATAGATGCCAATGGTGTTCACACAGATAAAAAGATAGAAATATGGCTTGTCATGGTGGCTCACATCTGTAATCCCAGCACTTTTGGAATCCAAGACAGGCAGATCACTTGAACTCAGGAGTTCTAGACCAGCTTGGGCATCATGGGTTTTTCTAGACAAGCTTGGGAAACATGGGAAAACCCTGTCTCTAAAAAAAAAAATTCAAAAAATTAGCTGGGCTTGGTGGTCCATGTCTGTAGTCCCAGCTACTTGGGAGACTGAAGTAGGAGGATTGCTTGAGCCCAGGTAGTGGAGGTTGTAGTGAGCCAAGATTGCACCACTGCACATCAGTCTGGGAAACAGAGTAACACCTGTCCCAAAGAGAATTGTGTTACAGTTGTTTTACTGGTTCTTCAAACTCCTGATTTATAGCCCCAGATCACATACAGATCTTTCATCAAGTATTATTTTAATGATCTATTAGATAAGCATTCTTTAAGTCTGTTTTTTATTTTGTTGAAAGTGAACGATGTGAAACCATCTCAATTACAAAAGGCAGTGTTGCCATTTTTTTTTTTTTTTGAGAAGGAGTCTTGCTCTGTCTCTCAGACTTGAGTGCAGTGGCATGATAACAGCTCACGACAGCCTCTGCCTCCCAGGCTCAAGCAATTCTCCTCCAAAAGCCTCCTGAGAAGCTGGGATTACAGGCGCACCACCACACTGGCCAATTCGTATATTTTTAGTAGAGATGGGGTTTCACCATGTTGGCCAGTCTGGTCTTGAACTCCTGACTCAAGTGATCTGCCCGCCTCGGCTTCCCTAAGTGCTAGGATTACGGGAGTGAGCCACTGTGCTTGGCCGACTTATTCGCTGTCTCAGCCAAGACACTGATGTGTTGAACTGCCCTTGTTTGATGTTCTGCAGGTTTCTACTCTCTGGCACATTCTGCCATAGTAGGTTCTAGATGTGTGGGAAGCTTGCTCGCCATTTGTAAAGTTGCTGAAGGGACATGTGGAAGGAGATGCCCCACTGGAGGTGTTATCCTCCTTTCGGAAGTTGATGATCTGAAAATGGATTCTTTTGAAACTGTCCAAGCCTTCCTGTCCCTTAGAACGTTGTTATGCATCCCCAAGGCATATATGTTCTGGTTTGAAGAACTTGTATACTTTTATATGAGAGCATTTCCTGTTGAAATAGATTTAAAATTCTTTTACGACAAATGGAATCCAGTTGTACTAGGTATTGGTACAAATATATATTGGTTAACTGTATTTTTAGGAGAAAATATGCTCCATGTTTTAGAGTTCTGGTTAAACTCAGCTACTGAAGCTTGCTGTATTTTAGAATAAGAAATCACAACAGGAATATTATTTTATAGGCTTACCTTATTTTATGATCTGAGCTGAAGTTCTGTGGACTTATGTGTTATAAGGAGCACTACTTTTTCCTTCTACTCTGTGTCCTTTGAAGTGTTCTTATAAGTTAAAAGGCTTATACTAATTTTTCTGGATATAGAATTTTAGTATTATAAAGGATGGAAAGGAAATGTCAAATTTGGTTACCATTTTGAAAGGAGAGCATTTTAATCCTAAATTATCCTCATTAGTAGGCTATAAATATTTTACACATTTATGGTAGCAAAGTTGATTTGATTAGGTACCCAAAGGCAAACTGATCTATTCTAGGAGTTTGAAGTGGAGAAGAATCGTTCTGTTCTTGCATCAAGGGCAATGAACTACAGGCAGTTTTCCAAGTAAAGTAGCTTTTCATCTAAGTAGGACTAATGATAATGATTACAAAGAAGTACAGATGTCTTCATGCTGATGCTTAAAGCCCAAATTAGGTTAGCTACAGTGCTTGCATTTGGAATGTAGAAGCTATGCTAATCAAAGCTTTTATAAGCAAAATATAAAATGATGGCTGCACTGAGTGTGCATTTGCACATCAAATTTCTTGAGATCAGTACTGGTCTTTATTCTGGGCCAAGAGGCTTATGGCTTCGAATGATTACAAAGCTTATGTTTTAGGATGATTTTAAAAAAGAGTCTACTTTCTATTGGTCCAGCTTCTCTCACCTGTTAACACGTTGATGGACCGACCATGGTTTTTGCCAACATATCCTTTTCAACGTTCTGGTCTTGGCAGAAAAAGAGCAAACTATGTGGATTCTAAATGGAAAAACGTTAGCATATCGACTAAGGTTGACCCAGCTTGGTGGAGTCTTAGTCACCTTTCTGGCTGAAGGCTGTATCCCTCTAGGCATGAACATCCCTTTGATGTCGGTGATAACTTTTTTTGTTTTTTTGAGACAAGGTCTTAACTTTTTTTGAGACAAGGTATTATTCTGTTGCCCAGGCTGGAGTGCAGTGGTGCGATCTTGTCTCACAGCAGTCTTGACCTCCTGGGTTCAAGTCACCTTCCCTCCTCAGTCTCCCAGGTAGCTGGGACTATGGACACATTTTTGTAGTTTTTTATAGAGATGAGGTTTCACTCTGTTGCCCCAGGTTTGCCTCAAACTCTGGGGCTCATCAAGCAATCTGCCTGCCTTGACCTCCCAAAGTGCTGGGATTATAGACGTGAGCCAACGCACCGAGCAGTGCTAACTTTTTGATATCTGGTTGGTAGAGAAGACTGAAAAGACTCTTTTCTTCATTTAATTGCTTTTGTTCTCTTTCCTGCTGCTTCATCTCTAGTCCTTTTTTGCATTCTACAGGTGCCACTTTTTCCTTTTTCTTCCCCTGCTCCTTTCCATCCTTCAGATTATACTTCAGAAATCAGCTTTCCTGGAATGCTTTCTCTGAACTCCCTGCGTTAGGTGGATCTTCTTTATGGTAATGAAGATAATAACCATTTTGGAACGCTTTGTATGCGCCAAAGACTGTGTTAATCACGTTGCTTAGATCTCTGCTTTTCAAACACTTTTTTAGTAGTCTTTGCTTCCGGCATCTTGTTTTTTATTTTTTTTCTTCCTCTCACCTTCTCCCAACATCTTCTGTTACATCCCTGTATATACATCTTCCTAAAGTCCTAGGGCTCTGAGAAACTGTGACTATCACTGGGGACCATTATTTAACTCTCCAGCTCTGTGAGTTGGATATTATGATTTCCATTTTAAAGGTTTAACTGAGACAAGAAGTCCTAAATTGCCTAAGGTAAGTAGCAGAGCTGGGATCTGAACCCAGGTTTTCATTGTTGTAGTTGTGCTATTGACTATTCCAGGGTCTCCCAGTAACACACAGGTGCTGACTTGTGTAGCATCCTCTGTTGGTCTTCTGGAGCATAGGGACAGATCCTTTTTGTTTTTTTTTTGGGACAGAGTCTCACTCTGTCATTCAGGGTGGGGTGCAGTGGTGCAATCTTGGCTCGCTGCAGTCTCTGCCTCCTGGGTTTAAGTTATTCTCATGCCTCACCCTCATGAGAAGCTGGGATTATAGGCGCATGTCACCACACCTGACTAATTTTTGTATTTTTAGTGGAAATGGGCCAGGCTGGTCTCAAACTCCTGGCCTCAAGTGATCCACCTGCTTTGGCCTCCCAAAGTGCTACTTACAGGCCTGAGCCCAGATTCTTATTTATCTTTGTGCCTGCAGCAAATAGCACTGTGCCTAGTCCATGACAAGTTCTTAATAAACCAGAACCTCAAAGTAGTTCTAATCTCAAGTGCATTTTAATGTAATGTCAACCACATTTTAACAAATTTGTTATCACCATTTTGCTCTTTGGTGAGTTTGTAGCATTGCTTCCAGGTAAATTTTTTTTTCTTCGAGAGGGAGTTTCGCTCTTGTTACCCAGGCTGGAGTGCAATGGCGCGATCTCAGCTCACCGCAACCTCCGCCTCCTGGGTTCAGGCAATTTTCCTGCCTCAGCCTCCTGAGTAGCTGGGATTACAAGCATACGCCACCATGCCCAGCTAATTTTTTATATTTTTAGTAGAGACAGGGTTTCACCACATTGATGACCTAGTGATCCACCCACCTCGGCCTCCCAAAGGCTTCCAGGTAAATTTAAAGAAACTTACCATTATCCTTTGCTGCACTTTTTTTTACAGGT